CCGTGAGTCTGGGTCTTCATTTCAAAGTCAGGTGGGTATTTATACGTTGGGTATAGTTCAGGTAGGTAAAATGAAGTTTACCCTTTAATTAATAATTAATTCACACGCATCTTCATTTCTATCTTCACCACTACACCAATATTTTTATTATTGTTCTTATAAAACCAGCACCTTTCATTTTCTTTTCTTCTCTCTCTCTATATATTACAATCAAGCATCTCATCCTCAAGAAACAAAAACACACACACACACACACACAGTTTGAAGAAATATAAATATATATAATACATTAATGGAGGGTACTCATCATCATGTTCAAAGCGATGATCTAAATTTCAAGGCAACTGAGTTGAGATTGGGTTTACCAGGCACAGAGATTACTACTTCTTCTTCTCCTAAGATTATTATTAATATTAATAATAATAATAATAAACGATCCTCCCCAGATAACAATGAATCTGAAGAAGAAGATGATAATAGGGTTTCTTCTGCTGCTAAATCCATTACTGCACCTGCTCCCAAGTAATTATTAATTAATACCCTCTCTCTCTCTCTCTCTCTCTAGATCTCTCTCTCTCTCTCTGTATGTATGTATATGCATGGCTTATGGCTAGTAATTGACAATATGTATGTATGTGTGTGTATTTCAATTTCAGGGCGCAGATAGTAGGGTGGCCGCCGGTGAGGAGCTACCGGAAAAACAACACGGCGGTGGTGGTCGGAGAAGAGAAGAAGACGGAGTATGTAAAAGTTAGCATGGACGGCGCACCTTTTCTTAGGAAGATTGATCTAAAGCTCTACAATAATAATAAGAATGGATATACAGAGCTACTGAATGGTTTGGAAAAGATGTTTAATTTCAAAATTGGATCTGAATATGCAACTGCTTATGAAGATAAAGATGGTGACTTGATGCTTCTCGGTGATGTTCCTTGGGAGTAAGTCCCCATTAACCATTCTTTCTCTCTCTAATACTCTCTCTCTCTCTCTCTCTCTCTAAAACTCTTTCTCTCTCTAAAAATAAATACTGATTATATTTTGTGCAGTATGTTCATGGCAACATGCAAGAGACTCAGAATAATGAAAGGATCAGATGCTAGGGGTTTGGGTGCTTCTGCTGTATGAGTACTGTCTTAATTCATTTTTTGTCACGTGACAAAATTGAAGATGAAGATGAAGATGAAGTCTCTGAGGAAGAGAGAGAGAATCTGCAGATTATGCACAGGCTCTGATTGGGCTCTCCAATGTTGAACATACATAAATCAAGATTGTGATTTTTTCTCTTGCAATTTTCTTGATCCTATTATATTATTAATTACAGAATCTAAAACCTAATTGGCTGGTTTTCTTAGATCCTGTTTTGTTTTAAGGTTTTTATTATTGCTGCTTTTGTAATCTCTGTCAATCCAATTGTACAAAAGGATATATATATATATAGTTATATACATGTCCTGTTATATGTCTGTGTGAGTGTTTTTTTTTTTTTTTTTCTGTTCTCTTCTTTTTTTGTAAACCACCATGGTTGACAGTGTGAAGGAAGCTTGATTATGATTGTTTATCATTTTTATTAATTCCTTTTTTTTTTTCATTTAACCTGTGTTCTTGTTATTTTCAAAAAAAATAAAATAAAAGTAATTTTCCACATAAATAGTCCAATTGAATTTAATGTACCTGAGTATTTCCAAGGCTGACTGTGATGACAATCCAGAATCCAGAATCAATATACATTATATATTTTTGATTTTTCCCTATAAATTTGCACAGTCAAAAGTGGATAACAGAGCGAATAATTCAGCTTAACGAGTAAAGATTGGAATTCGAAATAACATCGACAATAGATACACAATGAACCGCAACAATATTTAAAGAAAAAAAGAAAAAGAAAGTCGGAGTATTAGATTCTCAACTTCAATTACTGTTGCCTTTTCTTCTTAGGCCTCCTTTTTCTACGAGGTTTTCTAGCATCGGAATTAGAGCTCATGTTACCACTATTTCCGGTGGTGGAATCAACATTGCCGCCTCTATTTCGAAAAGAAGATCTGCCTATGCTACTCGATGTATTGCTAGATGTCGATATTTCGCCTCTGTTAAATGTTTTCTTCTTACCCGAAGAAGATGCTGCGAATCTTGATTTGCTATTATTCTTCACCGAATTTGAAATTGGCTTGCCCGATGGACCGGGTGGTGGCATTAGTGCACGAGCAGATCTCAGCCTCTGCATCATAAACATAACAATATAATAAATAAAAAAATAAAAAAAGTCGGTTTTATAATAATCAACTTAAGAATGGCGAACCTGATTCTTTTCATCACTGGAAACTCCTGATGTTGTTGCTTTACCCGAAGCACTAGAGACTTGCTCCCTGCAGACCAAATAGAAAGGTTTTCTTTCATATAACGAGCATTAGTTATTTGTACGATTTTTAGGTTTTTCTTTCAAGTTTTATTCGGTCCGCCCTAATGTTTTTAAGTTCGTTTTCTTCTTCGAAAAATAATCTTTATTATATATCTCATGATATCTAAATTTGACAAACACAGTTGTTAAATTATCCGAAGAGTGGTGGATGTTGGTCCTCGTTGTTAAATGCTATATTCTGTTTTCAAAACCGAAGTTTCTCCATAATATATATATATATATATATATATATATATATATATATATATATATATATATATATATATATATATATATATATATATATATATATATATATATATATATATATATATATATTTTTCAAGCATTACGAAAGTTCATGCGTATATATGCCCTCAAGACACACATGACGTGTCAATCAGAGCCTTAATGTTTTAAAACACTAGAAATGGTTTTCTTCCAAATACATAGAGTTTCCTGAGGTACCTAACTTTAAACTGAAATAAAAAAGAGGAATGAGTGATGGTGGGGATATTTACCTTGCACTCCACTCATCGTCTGCATCAGCATCATCACTAGAGCTTCCGTTTAAGAAAAAATCGTCCTCGCTGGCATCCAATAGACCGTCATCTTCACTCCCTGTTTCTGTTACACATATTTAAGCCGAATATTTAGTTGGAACACATTTAATGTGACGAGGGATAAAATAAAAAAAATGTAAAAAGATAATATTAATGCTGAGTGATGATGAAATGACCAATTGGCATCAACAGTTTTTGATCTCTTGTACACAAAGGAAACAAGAAGCTATTGCTTTATAACGTACTAGTAATGCAGCTTAATTTCACACCTATTAATCTGCATATATCCCACTTAGGGGTGGAAATTGGAACGCAATTTCCGATTTCCGCCAATTTCGATCCATTTTTTTCTGATATCGGAGCAATATTTTTCATTTTGAAATTCCGATTTTTTCCATTTTTTTTTATCGGAATTGGAATTTTCTGAAACCCATCGATTCTGATACGAAAATTTCCGATTTTGGAACGAGTTATTTCATCCCACTTTCCTGAAGTCCGATTTTCGAATTTTCCGACTTTTTTGGACCGGAACTAAAATTAGTTTTTCACTTCCGAAAAAATGGAATATCTCCGAAAGTCCAAATTTCGATCCAATCCGTCTGATTTCCACCCCTAATCCCACTCTTCTATTTACAGTTCCTAATTAATCTTGCAGACACAAAGATCATAAATCATAATCAATTTAATGTATCCCTTAAATACATTCAAATGACTGGAGAAAAAAACTATCAAACACGACATCCCGGTAAATGTATGAGATAATAATATTCTACTGCAGAGGTTCTTCACTACTCCCTAATGATTCTGGACTTTTTTACGACACTAAAGCTGTGTTAGAAGCAAAATTTTGCAGAGGAAGCAATGAAATTAGTAGGGATTTTAAGCATAGGTGTTCCGACAAATTCTAGATGTTCATGACATTTGACGAGGAGAAAATCCAGCAGAAACTTAAGGAAAATTTATATGTTCCCCATAACAATTCTAAATTGGTTTAGCTCAAGTAACAATACTTAAAAAACATGAGAAGGAAAAACGAAGTACCTTCCAAATCCTTTCCACTTGCTGCAGCAGCAATCAGATTAGCCTTAATTTGCATACGCAACCTATTTCTTTTATCTACAATTTCTGCCTCATCACCTCCCATAAATAAGGAGACGTATTTCTCAGTTTTTGGGAAGAACTGCAATTCAATTTTCGAAAAAAATAAACGATTAATGAAATTCTTCCAGTATTATAATGCACAGCAACAATCTTGTATAAAGCAACATCGGCAGTTTCCTACAATGTTGTTCACTGGCGATTAAATCATATCATACCTTGACATATTCAAGATCTTCTTTCAACTCAGACAGTTGGTCCGCAATCTCCGTTTCCTGAGAGTGAACAGTTGAAGTACGCTGCTGCTTCTCCAACCGTCTTATCCTTCTTTCGATTTTTCTTCTCTCTAGGCATATAAATTCGAACTACCACGTCATTTACAACACTTCATCACGCTGAGGCACAAACGAAAAAAGATCCTGATCATAAGGCTACTCCTTACCGAAAAATTTGATCTTTCTGTCACGAATAAATAAAATACGCTCCAACGCCAAACGATTGTGAATCTCTTGTTGTTTCTTGAGGTCCTCCAACTTCTTCGCCTGCGCTTCCTTCACTTCGGGAGGCAGATCCTGTATGTTGAGAATTAATTAACTAAATCATTCATCAAATTCATATAAATCAGTAGCTACATGGTGTATATATATGTATATATATCAATAACAACAAAACAGAGGAAGTTCAATTGTGTGATTATTATCCTAGGGCTAAATCAAAAGAAAATGCAGTGATTTTACAGATATAGACAATCCTAATCTCACCGACCAATTCGACAGCAATCAACGCCGGTCCAAAACCAAAACAATTAAAATAAAAATTCAATCCACACCGACGTGTGTGTACGTTGGGCGGAGGAAATTAATGGAAATTGAGAAGAGTAAATTACCTTGCGGAGCATGCGTTCAGTGGAGCGAATTTGATTTTTGAGAGAGACGGATTTAGGCTTGTTAGCCTTCGATTTCTTGTCGACGGAAAGGGTTTTAGGCCGCCGCTGGCCCGCCGGTTTCTTCCGCTCCGCCGCGGCTGCGCTGCGCTTGCCATAGCCACCGTGCCCCATGTTGTTCGATGATTATTTTCTCGTAATCTTCGTCTTTATTCACAAGTCTGTAATACGTCGTCGTATCTCCCCTGTGTTTACTTTCATTACCAGTACCACTCTCTCCTCATAAATTATTATTAGGGTAAATTACAACCACAACCCTGAGGTAGCTCAAATTATGAAAAACACCTCTTGTTTGGGTAATTACAACCATCCCCTCAACTATAAATCTTCTTACACGTCCATCCTTGCGGTATCAAATTTAATGGAATCTTCTCGATTATGTGGATATTCTTTAGTTTATACCCGTTTTACCCCATTCGAGCTTTACATTTTGAAACAAGATGATGAGAAAATACGTCTGTAAATATCAGATTGTGTTGCATCAGAAACTACATTTTTTGCACAAAGCGAGTACAGACAATTTACGGAATCTATAATATTATGTTGAATTTGACACCATAAGCTGTACGTGTAAGAAAATTCATAGTTGATGGGGGTATTTGTAATTATTTAAACATGAGGGATTTTTTGTAATTTGACCATACCCCAGGGGTTGGTTGTAATTTTACCATTATTATTATTATATTTATATGACGTCATAAAACGTTGGTGGGCTTTCTATCTAAATATTGAGGCCCATTTAATTATATATTTATAAATATACGGTTTAAGAAAATAAATTATTTGATGATACAGTAGACATATCTAAATACTTCGGCAACAGAAAGCAGAAAAATTCTCCCTCCTCCTTCCTTAATCCGAAGATGTTTGTGAAGTTTCAGTATTCAGACACCAATTGTCTGCGCGTATTCAGCTTAGCAGAAGCCACGCCACCGAGTGTGGCGCTTTCAGTAACACCACCCATCAAGAAACCCAATGGTAAATTCAAACATAAGCAGCACAAACAGGTTTCCGAGTCCCACTCTGGTGTGGTGCACATGTCGAAGAAGAATGGTTTCGTCAAAGACCCACTCGGAAGAACACAGAAGAATGTGAATTTTCGTGGCGGCGGCGGCGGCGGTGGTGGTGGCAGAAATGGGGTGCTGGAGAAAGAAGATTCGACTGAAGATGGTTTATTGGAAAACCTAGAAGAAAGAAATGAGAAAAATGGTGGGTTCGGAGCGGTTTTAATTTCTGCAGGTGGGATTAATGGTGTAGCGGAGGAATTGTGTACTCGGAGTTCGTCGTCTGAAGAAAATGTGAAAAATGGCGATTCTAGGAAAGAAAATGTGAAGCATAATGGTTATGTAAGAAGATTACGTGGCAGTACTGAGAATTGCAGCAAGAATAGAGATGAAACGAGTTCAAAGGGTGTGGTCGAGGGAATGCAGACCAGGTGTTCGACGAAATGGGCGAGATACGGCGGTAATATTCCGGCCATGTTGGAAGCGTTGGAGACCGTTAAAGATTTGGACGAGGCTATGAAGCCTTGGGAAACGACCTTGACGAACAAGGAAAGGAGCATACTATTGAAGGAGCAGTTGGGTTGGGAAAGGGCGGTGGAGATTTTCGAGTGGTTTAAAAGGAAAGGATGTTACGAAGTGAACGTAATCCACTACAACATAATGCTCAGAATTCTAGGCAAAGCGCGACAATGGTGTGAAGTCGAGAGGCTGTGGGGTGAGATGGAGAAGAAAAGGATTAAACCGATAAATTCAACTTACGGTACTTTGATTGACGTGTACTGCAAAGGAGGGCATAGAGACAAAGCGATGAAATGGCTGGAATTGATGAACGAACGTGAAATGGAGCCGGATGAAGTGACAATGGGGATTGTAGTGCAGATGTATAAAAAGGCGGGGGATTTTAAAACAGCCGAAGAGTTTTTCAAGAAGTGGTCGTCTCGTAATTCTGCAGTTGTTGTAGGGCGTGGCGGTACGAGTTCTAGATCAAGAAGCAAAACGGGTGTCAATGGCGATTCTTCCTCAGCGTCGAACGTTTGTTTGAGCAATTACACGTACAATACAATGATCGACACTTACGGAAAAGCTGGCAAACTGAAAGAAGCGAGCGAGACTTTCGAAAGAATGCTACAGAAAGGTGTGGTGCCGAATACGGTGACTTTTAATACTATGATTCACATGTACGGCAATAACGGACAGCTGGCGAAAGTTGCTTCTCTGATGGAAAAAATGGAGGGTGCTAAATGTTCGCCCGATACCCGAACGTACAACATTCTTATATCCCTACATGCTAAGCACGATGATATAGAGTTGGCAGCAAGATACTTGAAGAAGATGAAGGAAAGTTCTCTCGAACCAGATGCAGTGAGTTATCGAACACTACTGTATGCGTTTTCGATAAGGTGCATGGTTTCCGAAGCGGAGGAGTTAATCGCGGAGATGGATGAAAAGGGATTGGAGATCGATGAATTTACTCAATCTTCTTTGACTAGAATGTACATCGAAGCTGGATTGGTCGAAAAGTCGTGGGCGTGGTTCCAAAGATTCCATCTTGGAGGGAATATGACTTCCGAGTGCTACTCTGCTACTATCGATGCTTTTGGGGAGAGAGGGCACATTTTGCAAGCCGAAAAAGTTTTTGAGTGTTGCCTGCAAGTGAAGAAATTGTCTGTGCTCGAGTTTAATGTGATGATCAAATCTTACGGTATTAGCAAGAAATTCGATCGGGCGTGCCACTTGTTTGATAGTATGGAAAAACACGGTTTAGTTTCCGATAGATGTGGATATAATTCGTTGGTGCAAATGCTTGCTAGTGCAGACCTTCCAGAAAAGGCGATTTTTTATCTAAGAAAAATGCGCGAGCTTGATTTGGTGATCGATTGTGTTCCTTATTGCGCTGTGATTTCCAGCTACGCAAAACTGGGGCGTATGGAAATGGCGGTGGAAGTTTACAAGGAGATGATTGGCTGTGGGATAAAGCCTGATGTAATTGTTTACGGTGTTCTGATAAACGCTTACGCAGAAACAGGAAACGTATATGAAGCAACTTATTACATCGAAACCATGAGAAATCTGGGACTGCCCATGAATGGTGTTGTGTGTAAGTCACTAATCAAGCTTTACACGAAAGTTGGGTATTTAAAAGAAGCTCAAGAATCGTACAAGAATCTGCAATTATTCGAGACGGGAATCGATGTTTACTCATCGAATTGTATGATCGATCTCTACAGTGAAAGATCTATGGTTTCTGAGGCGGAAGAGATTTTCGAGAATTTGAAACGGAACGGAGATGCGAACGAGTTTACATACGCTATGATGCTGTGTATGTATAAACGGAACGGGAGATTCGTGGAGGCGTTTTGGATTGCGAGAAAGATGAGGGAATTAGGTCTAATGACGGATTTATTGAGTTACAATCATGTTCTTGGATTGTATGCTTCGGACGGGAGGTACAAGGAGGCGGTGGCTACATTTGAGGAGATGGTGAAATCGCTTGTCAGGCCGGATAATTCGACGTTTAAATCGTTGGGGATTATTTTATTGAAATGTGGGGTTCCGAAAGTTGCTATTGACAGGCTTGAAACGGAGAGGAAGAAGGATCAAGAGAGCGGTGTTCGAGCGTGGGCTTCGATTCTTACGTCTGTTGTTGACATGGATGATGATGACGACGATGATGATGTGGCAGTTGAGGTTGTGTAGTTTGTGTTAAATAATCAGAGGTTTTGTCCACTGATCTTGTACACTTGTTTGTTTATTCCATGTCTAATGAAGCTAAGTATAGGTTTATTAAGGACTGTTGAATAGCAATATCAGTGGCTCGATGCTCTACTTTCGTAACCTAGATTTTGCGGCAAACAGGGGTGCAAATTGCAACACAATCTTCGGGTCTACTGGTTTGATCTTTGGAACAGTAGTTTCCATTCAGATTTTCAATTTTTTCGATCTTTCGTTTGAAGTACATGAGATTACATCTAAAGCAATAATGGCTATTACCTCACAGATGAATACACCTCACTAATTACTTACCCCATCAAGAATCTTCAAAGCCTCCATTAACGATTCCCACGACTTGATTCCAAAGCTCATGCCACAAGCAATCGACACCATCGAATTCATCCAAGGCAATGGTGGGCTCGGCAGCATCAAACTGGAGCCCGCCGAGTGCAGATATGTTTGGCCTACAAGTTTTTCTTAGGATATATTTGGCCCCTGCAGATATAAAATGCTGCGCTACCGTCGTACATAACAAAATCACCGACAAATTTCAAGTATATATGATTATATATACATGTACATATAAGTATAGATACGATCGCTATTTATTAGAATTCTTAGTCTCTATGCATCTACCCTAAACGACACTTAAAACGAAACGAAGGGAGTACTGATTGATTATTAACACACCAGAAACTGTTTACTTATACAAATCCAAACATTTAAACCACTACAACAAGCTCAAAAGCAACCGCCTCAGCAGAACATGGCATTATATTTGACGATACTCAACCGAAAAAAACAAGCAGTCGAAAGAATGACAGGTTCCAACTTCTGCCGAATACCTCCCAGGAATACAAATCGAAGAAGAAAAAAAAAGAACTGAAAATTACGAAGATCGAGAAGCGGATACCTTGAGACACTCGCTCTGACATCTCCGAAGGCAAACGTCGTTCCAATTCGGCACTTGATGCTGATTCACGCACACGGTCCTTGCACACGCGTCCGCACAGGCATCGAGTTCTGAAACTCCGCACACTGTGACACACGTATCGGGGATTGGATCTTTAGAGAATGCACCGACTTTCTTGAGCATTCTCTTCGACGTGCAAACCCTCTCGCAGACGAAAATCTCGTCTGCGTTTTTCTCCCTGCCTCGTGCAGTTTTGATTCTTTGCTCCTCTGCGTTTTTAGCCTTGATTCTTATAGCTTGGCCGGCGGCGAAAACTGGAACGGCTGCCGCTAGCAGTGTCCACCATACCTCCACCATTGGTGCTAACGCCTACATTTGCAAAATTAGGTCAGGCAAATTAGCACATAGTGCATAAACCTCAGAATGCAATTAGAACTACTTCCATTCAAAAAAAAAAATTTATCAGATTCAGTTACATTAGCCGAAATCTATGCTAACGAAAAAAAATTCAGCCTTTATGGAAGAGCGTGTTACCAGAGAAAACGAGAAGGAAAACAGTAGAGGAAATAATCGGAAAAGAAAGAAAATATGTAATTTTCCGGTGGAGAATTTACCGATAAATGCGAGGCGGATGATGGTAATTGCGGTGCGAATTCTTCACCGGAACCCTAGCTCGCAGCGGTGGACGACGGAGGAGGAGGAGGACGGTGGGAGGATTGAGGAATTCAGAACTGGAGTGTAACTTATGGGCCGATGAATACAACTAATTATTGGCCCATCCAAAAAAAATACAGGCCCATATATAAATATATAAATATAGATACAGAGGAAAAGCTCCACGTAACGCAGTGCATATCCATTTCTTTTTGTTGCAGAGGGGTTTATGCTTCCATCTCTACCCCTGAGATCTCGAATTATTTCTGCACGAAATTAAAAAAATTGGAAAAATTGGAAAAATGTCGTCTTTGGGTACATCAAAAGGGGTTTTGGAGATCGCGAAATTTGCAGTATACGTCACCGTTCCGATCGGGATGATGTATTTCTTCGCCAGCAACACCAAAAATCTCCAGAAATTCATGGGCAATGTAAGCTTTATTTATATATACCTTCAATTTTTCTCCCCCCTTTTTTTAGGGTTCTTATTTCAGCTAATCTGAAAATGAAACTCTCAACTGGATAGTTAATTTGCCTAGATACCCTTTGAATTTTATGAAATCAATTTTCAGCAGTCAGATTACCTGCGTAGTTAATTTGAGCTTCATTTCTGATCACTGCACGTGTTTCTATGGGGGTGTACTCTGTGTGTGTGTGTGTGTGTGTGTGTGTGTGTGTGTGTGTGTGTGTGTGTGTGTGTGTGTGTGTGTGTGTGTGTGTGTGTGTGTGTGTGTGTGGAATGAAGCTGGAAATTGTGAAATTGAAATAGCAGAACAACTAAATTTTGATATGGGAATAAGAGAGGAAATTGAAATATTTAGTACCCTACAATTTTAGTTTAGAAAGATACAATATAAGTAGAATAAAATATAAAAATGAATCTACATTATATACTCTGGCTTCTTTCTTTCGTAAAATAACCGAGCCTCGTTTCTCTCTTTATTTTCCCCCCTTGGTTTAAGCCTTAGTCATTCTTAAGAATGTTTTGTTTACTCTTGATGATCGTTGAAGCATCGAACATGGTAATGCCCATTTCGTCTCGTAAGGAATCACACTATTTGAAACAATAACGCCGTCCGAACGCATCACTACCAAGTGGGATTGTTATGATCGATTTTTATTTCATATATGTTTTAATTATTTTTGTTGATTTATTTCTATATTGAAACCCTATTAAGTAGTAGAAGTTTCTTGCATGTGGGATGGTTTTTGCCTATATTCTTCTGCATAAATAAGCGTGCGCGCGTTTGTGTGTTATACATGCTTAATTGCTTACCCTTGATAGTGATATGGATTCTAAATCGAAAATTTTGTGTTGTATCATGAAGCGTCAATACGTTGTGTACCCACCGGAGGGGCCAAGGCCTCCATCGCCGGAGGAAATGAGGGAGATGGCTCGAGAATTAGCTCGAATTAGAGATGGGACCCGCTGATGGATTTCTCGTTTCCCTCTACGAGACCATGATCTTATGAGTTTATTATGACCACCATCATCATGTATGTGCTGTTCCAATAATTTTCCAGGGACTTATCTGTAAATTTTTGTTGTGAGTTCGACGGAAACTAACTGTTTCAAATACACGTGTGTAACGGTTTCGACAACATTCGATCAATACACGAAATGCTCATTTTGCAGAGCCTGTTACTATCTACTAGTGTCCTTTTTTGTGATTAATGTATTTATGTTTAACCAGTCTTTCATACAAATTCATACAGTCAAGTCAATTAACTAAGGGCATAAAAATTAATAATTAGAAAAATAAAAGAAATTAATAGCCATATTTCCTGGAAATTTCACAGGGAAAAAGTGCTCAACGTTAATAGTACTCTTTACCCACCTGCAAATGACCCGACCCGACCCGACCCGGCTAGGCAAGGAAAATATCAAGAAATGAACATTTGTACGGAAGGGCCCAACCCGGAGGAATCTTTTTCCAAAGAGAAAATTTCCCAGCACAAGACTCATTGACTCTGCAAGTCAATCTTCTTGATTTTGCCTCTCTACAAATAACATGGCATTCTCTCTCTCTCTCTCTTCATAACATAACTCCCAAAATTCATTACTTTGAGCTTTCTTCTATCTATCTTTCTGCAGTTGTTTCTTGATTATACTCATTTCTATATATAGTTCAACTACTTCTCTCTCTCTCTCTAGAGTGGTTTGATGACGGAGCTTATACCAATCGGAACAATTCTAGCTCTCCTCACAAACCAGATTATGAAAACAGCCCAAGCAGCCAAAGACGTCGTTTTCGAAAAGGAAAGCTTCAAGATTCTAGCAAAGCACCTCCTCGACATCGAGCCCGTTTTGAAGGAGCTCGAATCCCACCACCTAAACGACTCCCCTGCTACGAGACAAGCTCTCGAATCCCTCGAAAACGACGTCAAGAAAGCCAACAACCTCGTCGACAAGTACAAGAATCGGGGCCGCTTCTACCTCCTGATCAAGTGCAGGCAAATCGTCAACGAAATACAAGACGTTACGCGAGAGATAGGCAACGCATTGGCCGCCCTCTCCCTCGCCAACATTGAGGTTCTTTCGGGAATCTCCGACCAAGTGAACAAAATACAAAACGAGATGCAACGGGCCCAACTCGAAACCGCCCAATCACGCGTCCAAATCGTGGATAAGTTAAACCAGGGTTTATCAGATCAAGTGTTCGATAAGGAATTCGCCAACGATATTCTCAGTGAAATTGCCAGAGCCGTAGGTGTGCCCGTCGAACCGTTAGAAATCAGCAAGGAGATAGCTAGCTTTAAAAAAGAGAAAGAAGAAGCCGAAGATCGGAAAGAACGGGCGGAGGTGTTGTTCTTAGACCAAGTGATCGAGCTCCTCTCGCGAGCCGATGCCGCTAGCGATTACGAAGAAGTGAGGCGGCAGTATTTCCAACGGCTCGACGCGGTGGAGAAATACGATCCAAGAGAAGAGTGGATCCAACCGTTTAGATCGTTCTTCTGTTGTATAACGGGGAATGTGATGGTGGACCCCGTTAGCCTCTGCACCGGCACTACGTGCGAGAGGGCAGCCCTCGAGAATGATTGGTTCGGACGTGGGGAGGAAACGGATCCCGAGACGGGCGAGATTCTTCGGGATTTCTCGTACCGGCCCAACATTCGAGTCAGACAGTCCATTCAAGAGTGGAGGGAGCTCAATTATTGCATCAAGATTAGGTCTTGCAAGACGAAACTTATATCCCATGTTGATTCGTTGGTCGAAGAGGCGCTCGATCGGATGGAAGAGCTCGTCAGAGAGGATTCGGTTAATAAGGATTGGGTCTCTATTGGGGGGCTAACTGATTTAGCTGTTGCTATGATTGGGGGTGGTGTGGTTAGTGAAGATGTTGAAAATAAATTATTGGTGACTTTGAAGGAGATCATAGATGGCCATGAAAGAAACAAGGTTAGTTTCGTCTTTTTCTTTCTTTTTTCGATTTGTTCGAAATATAACGGTTGTTCCAACTTGCTAGGTGATTTTCGTCGAGAATCACGGGATTGAGAAAATCGTACCGTGTTTACAATTGGACTCGAGCGTATCGATGGCTGCTATTGAGTTGTTGTACGAGGTTTTGCGCGATAGATCGGGTTGGAACGAGGGTTTTTGCAGGACCTTTTCGCAGCAGAGCGATTCGATCGCGTTCCTCGTTTACCTTGTGAAAAATCCAGTTCATGAAACAGCTACTAAAAAGTTAGCAGAAGAAATATTGATGAAGCTTTGTGAAGTGGATGAAAATGTTATTCAGGCTGCTAAAGTGAACTATTTCAGACCACTAATTGATAAGGTGATCCAAGGTTTGTTCCCAATTCCCAAATCAATGTCAGAGATTCAAACATATGCTTTTTTTTTTTTTTGTGCATAATTTAGAATGTTGAATTTCAGGATCAGTACCTGTAAGGATATCAATGGTGAGAGAGCTTCTAACCATGGAACTGGACGAAGAGAAAATCGAGCTACTCGGCGAGGAAGGGCTAATACCCCCCTTACTCGAGATGGCATCTGCAAATATCGAATCGAAGGAAGTTTCATTACAAGCCCTCGTCAAGCTGTCAACATTCCATCACAACAAACGGATCTTCGCTTCTCTAGGCGGGCCCACTCTAATCTTAAAGCTAATGTTTTCTTCCCACATGCTAGCTGTTGTTGTACCCAAATGCACCGAAATTCTCGCAAACCTTTCTTCAAGCGGAGACGGAATTAAATATATGGTTGACCGAAATGGGGCCCACCTTGAACTAGAGCCCGTCATAACCGGCTTATTATCATTCCAACACAACCTCAACTCGCTCGACGTTGTAAGAAAGCCGGCCCTGCGGGCCCTACTCGGGATTTGTCGGGCTGAAAATGGGCTCGTTAAGTCTGCGGTTCTTTCGGCCAGTGGCGTTTCTGTAATACTTGCCTTACTCGACGACTCGAATCAAGAAATTCGAGAGCTGGCGATCAATCTTCTGTTTCTGTTTTCTCAGCACGAACCAGAGGGGGTTGTGGAGTATCTATTGAAGCCTAGGAGATTGGAGGCTTTGGTGGGGTTTCTCGAAAACTCCGATAAAGGCGATGTACAGATGGCAGCAGCTGGTTTGTTGGCCAATCTCCCTAAATCGGAAACTTTGTTGACCGAAAAATTGATTGAATTAGGCGGGCTGAAAGCGATAGTGGACATTGTGAGATCAGGGACTATAGAAGCTAAGGAGAATGCACTCAGTGCTCTCTTTAGGTTCACGGACCCCACAAATCTCGAGTCACAGAGGATCACAGTGGAACAAGGTGTGCACCCTCTTCTCACAAACCTTCTCCGAGTCGACTCAGTGACAGCTAGCGCGAGGGCGGCAGCTCTACTCGGCGACCTCTCCATGCGATCTCATGAACTGAGTGTTGTGCATCCAAAGAAACCACGGTGTTTGTGTGTGTGGTTTCGCTTCACGAGGAAGAGATTGTCCGTGTGTGCGGCACACGGGGGTGAGTGTAGCGTGGGGGCCACGTTCTGTCTCTTGGAAGCCGAGGGTGCACTGGATGGTCTCGTGGGGCTTTTGGAGAAGAAAGTCGATGCCACAGCTTACGAGGCGATACAGACACTTTCGACTCTTGTGAGGGAAGATTCACCTCAGAGAGGGGCCCACGTACTGCACGAGAACGGGGCAGTGGGACCCACGATTGAGGTGCTGAGGTGGGGGTCGGAGTCACTCAAGGGGGAGGCTTTGAGCCTCTTGGAGAAAGTTTTCACTAGGGATATGGTGGAGCTGTACGGATCGACGGCTAGATTGCCTCTGATGCAGCTGACTGGGCGGAGTTTTTTCGAAGATGGGCATCTTCAGAGGAAGGCAGCTAAAGTCTTACTTCTCATCGAACGTTATTTGAGATCTTCATCAACATATTCAGTAACAGGGCTAAACAGTTTTTGATTAGTAGTATATGTCCAATATTTTTGCAACAGAAAATAACTTGTCTTTTGGAAGGTAAGAAACAAGAACACAACAGGGCATTTCAAATGACAAACAAATTCCAGTTAAAAAGGTCATAATTTTAGTAGCACCACTCTGTACAGATTTGTGAATATGAGGAAAAAACCAGAAACGAAGGTGTAATGTCATTACATTCCCCAAATGCCACGAGTGGATGCAGTTTTGTTGTTGTTCGGTCGAGAGGTCAATTCCTGTAATATCTTAGCGAATGTTTCGGCGTACCTTGTCTCAGAGAAGAGCATCTCCGCAAATGTGTTTTCGTAGGCTAGGAGAAGGGGCTTGTTCTGAGGCTCCACAGCAATAGTCTCCAGAATTAATGCAGCTTTCCTACAAACTTCCGGCACTGGATGTGGTGTCTTGATCACCTTCAGGAGTCGATCGACGGCCCTGAAGTATATTAAGTTAAAAAAGATTACCACGAGAAAAATGTAAAAAAAGAATTTTTTTTGTTAGTTACTAGAGATGTTAGTATATTTAAGTTAATCGAACCATCTCTCGCTGGCAAGCTTCAACCGACAGTCCACATTAATTTCTGCAAGAATGTAGAGGGCACCGACGGCTGCTCCTTGGGCATCACCGGCTGGGAAGCTCATAATATCCACCAACCGCTTGTACATCTGCAGTTCACATCAATCCTTTGTCATAAAGTGTGTTTTTTTTTATTTGTGTGTGTGAGAGAGAGAGAGAGAGGACCTGTGGAGCAAAGGGCAGAAAGAAAGGCTCATTATCAGGGTTAAGTATCATTCGCCCGAGTAGTTCTGCAGCGGCACAATGCCAGCCTCTGACAGCAGATCCCAACATTCCCATGATGGCCTGGACTGCACGTTTTTCCCTGGAAAAAGGGCAATGGAACAGCACATTTTCAGATCACAATTCGCAGAACTATAATGATAAAACAAAAAAACGAATCCAGAATTTTACGTTATTTTGATGAATGAAGGCTTTGACGAGCTGAATATTCGAAGATCTAGCAATGGGCCCAGATTCATGATTATCTCGAGTGCATTCGTGACAAGTTCTTCGTCCTCTGTCCACATTGAAACATTTTTGAGGAATGTCAGTTAAGTATAAGATACTATATTTTTACCTTTTTCATACATGCTTCTCTACAAGACAATCTCATTAACCATAACACAAAGAAGCGGGAAAAAAAAATATAGCACTAACAAAGACTCAAGTAAAAAGTTGACAAAGTATGCTCGATTTTATAACCTGTAACATAGTCTTCCAAACACTGAAACATCGTTTCAAGACAATGCCGACTCTGGCCCATCGGAATTTCATTCTCAGCCATAAAAGAAAAGTTCCTGATAATATTCGAAGCAGCTACAGCACATTGCTGTTTTTCCGCACGTCCTTCGTCGTCAAGATTAAAGAGGCCATCTTCCTCAAACCACCAACCTGACGGAGCAATCTTCTGTGGGTCTTTATTTGAAGAACCAGATCCACCACTACAATGGACACAAATACAAATCAGGATTGAATCCCAAAAAACAATATCTCATGTACACAAAACTTCAGTATTTTGAGTATTTCAGTGGCATACCTTGGATGCGAAACAGTATCGTCGGAATTCAAGGTCTCGTATTCATGCCCGAATCCAGTAACAGTGGAATTAGCACCGAGCAATCTCACCCTTGGTGCCTTTGTGAGGACCCTTGGTAGAGCTATATCACGCCAATCATCTATCTGCTTGAATTGAAAAAAAAAAAAAAAGAAATCCACGTTAAGACTTAAAAACACTGATATGACACGTGTACATACATATGCTGAAACGGCAAACATACAATCTGAAGTAGAGCATCGAGCAATCCTGGAATCTTGGCAAGAGGAGTTGTGTCTCTGCGGACATCGTCTTTATCTTTGAATGAAAGCAATGTGAGAGAATTCAACGCCCATGTCACCTCACTTTTCAGCCCACTTTGAAGAGCTAAAACTATCCTTTTGTTATGCTGCTCTGGTTAAGTAGTTGCATAAGTAGAAATAAAATTCATCACTTTCACAAAGGAAAATAACAAGATAAATGAAAAAACTCAACCATTACCTACACGCATTACATATTAACTTAATTCAACCAAATTTTAAGGTTGCCTATGTTCTCATGCCTCCAGACAAAAGAAAGTAGAAAAAATCGTAATGGAGTTCACGAACTTATTATGCGAGGGGAGATTTAACACTCTCGTATAAGGAAAACACAGAATATCTTTCCGCGAAGCAATGTGCATTATGGACAATACATTTCAGCCCTTTCAATAAATTAACCTAGCAAGATATTCATCAAGAGAGAAATCGTTTTAAGTAACTATTAAAAACAATAATTTTGATGAGAAATCCAACAGAAAGAACAAGTTTCAGAGCTTATTTACGCCGGTCCACAAACATTTTGTAATTTCGGTACTAAACGATCTTCCCCACGCGCAAAAGCTCTAATCTCTAATGAAGATTGTTAATTAAAAAGCAAAAGTAGAGTTTTCGGAGAGAGTTACCGGCGATGGCGGCGAGGACGTAGAGAGATGGGCCGAATAGGGCGGATGGGGCGGCAGAGTCACCGGAACCCACAGACACGGCAATTGCTGCTGCTGCTGATGCGGCGGCGCTGTTGCTTCCGCTGCCAATTGGGCGGCCTCGCTTGGCGGGGGGAGTGGCGAAGGCGCCGGCAGCTCCGCCTAGCTTGCTCAGCTCTCTCTTCTGCATCTCTCTTCCTCCTAGTTGGACCGACTAAGCTTCCGCGCAATTGAATTGGATTTATCGACCTTCAATTCTAGCAACTGGCCGCAATTGCTGATTATTCGGCTCGGTTAAATAATAATAGAGAAAATAATTGGCTCCTAATATAATTAAATTTTCGCTTTATACCTAATTAAAAATCCCCAAATCTTTTTAAGTATATTTTTTTAAGAATAATGTTGAATCATTGGAGTAGTATATTTTACTATGTGCTAAATAAGTTTTTGTTTTGAACTTGCCATGTGTTAAAAGAAATATTAAATATGCATGAATTTTATGAAAAATATATTACGATGATGGGTCAGTTCGGCTTGTAACATAGTGAACGCGTCGCACCGATGGAGAAGCATTTATTTAAACATGGAAGATACAACGAGAAGAAGATATTTATTTGAATCGAGGAGGGTGCGAGACAACGAGTTAACCTAGAGCTATTGGAGAAGAAGATATATTCCATAAATACACGAAGATATATGAACAAAATGTAACGGAATGATTAGGCACAATCACAACAATTTAACATCAATAATACATTTATACATTTCTGATACTTTCTCGAGTTATCTCTATCCTTTATCATTATTCTACCGTTTTGTTCATCGTTCATCGCACCGACCAAAAATCAAGTGATAGTTAAACTTCCCAATGTTCGAGAGAGTTGCGCTTGAAGAAGGGACCAAAATTTTCCTCTTATTAATTCTTGCTACTCAAAATTCAATAAATAGAAAATACCACAAAAGATGTAACAATTCATTAATTTCATAGAAACAAGTCAAAGTCTCCATAGAAATAATAATAATAATAATAATAATAATAATAATAATAATAATAATAATAATAATAATAATAATAATAATAATAATAATAATAATAATAATAATAATAATAATAATAATAATGCAACTACGCAAGGCCCAACAAACAAGATGTTGGGCCTAACATCTTTGCAATCTGTTTGTTAAAAAGCCTCAAACAGATCCAGACGGCGGTTCATCTGCCGCCGTCGCCGCCGCTGCGTGCAATGCTCCGCCTTCACGACTGGTGACGGCCGCCTCCATAGCCGCTTTGGCATTATGAAGCTGCAACTCAAAATCGGCGATGATCGGCTCATCGTGCCGCGGAACTTCATCCGTGAATCTCCCCTTTCCTCTCCGCCGAAGACGCTCCTGGCGATGGACTTCACCGATGCGTTTCTGACCCGCCGGAGTGCGCAGGAAATCGAGGAAGAGGAGGAATTGCGGCAGCTCAGCTTTGTCGACGTTAGGGTAAAAGTGTTCGTCTCTTCCAATTGACAGCAGTGCCTCGATTCTGGAATCTTCCTCGACGTGTTCGAAAGGTCGGAGATTTTTTAAGACCATGGCGTCGGTGTAGCCTAGGGCTAGGGTGGCGGCCTCCTCAAAACAGGCGGCGGGGACGCCGAAACGCGTCAGCCGAGCTCCGATCTTCTCGATGGCGGCGCCGTGGTTAGGAACCGGCTTGGGGTTGATCTGACCGGGAAGGACGACCGGGCCCAGCACGCCTTGACCGGCCATTGCTGAACAGTGAACAGTAAGAGAGAGAGAGAGAGAGAGAGAGAGAGAGAGAGAGAGAGAGAGAGAGAGTTTACAAAGAACAAAAAACTCGAACACAAATAAGTCACAGAGGAAGGAGATGAAAAGGCTAGGGTTTGAGTTTTGACTCTTCACCTACATTGGTGGTGCAGGAGGAGGTGGGTGTGAGATAGTGCCACGTGTGATGAGCTGAGGTGACAGCGTGGCATATACGTGGAAAAGGCGGGAAAACACTGTTCTTCATTTTGCAAGCTCAAACTGGATGTACTTTGTTAAACTTTAAAACAATATAGATGGGAATAGAATTCATGATTTCATAATCAAATTCGAACATACAAACACATTCGAAAAGCTCGAATAGCAGATGATCGACTCTAGCAGTATACATACATACATACATATATAAGCTGTTGTTATGTTCATTCCTTGCCATCAGCAGCTCGGAGAGAACCGAGTTGAACGGGAGCCTGTGTTCCGACAACTTTCGAAGAGCCGTAAGCAGACAAGTCCGTTCCATGAGCTTTCTCCTTTTCAAGTTGCTCCTTTATCCAGAAATACGTTATTCTCAGCCCGTCCTGTATTTTTTATATCCAACACGAAAAACATGGATATAATTAGCATCGTCAAATCAAAAAAGAAAAAAAAAAATTCATATTTCGACGGTTACCTTAAGTTTCATAGAAGGGGCCCACCCAAGCTTTTCCTTAATCAAAGTATTGTCTGAATTTCGGCCACGAACACCTTCAGGCCCTGGAATGTGATAAATGGGCAGTTTCTTGTTCTCGAAGCCAAGTACAATCTCTGCCATTTCATTCATGCTCACCATCTCATCACTCCCAATATTCACCGGCTCTCGGAAGTCGGACTTAGTCAATCTGAAAAACACGTAATTATTTTTTATATATAGTTTCGTGTTTGGTGAAATTAATATTCTAATTCGATAGGTAAGCGAAAATGTTACCTGAGAACACCTTCAACACATTCATCAATAAAGGTGAAAGATCGAGTTTGCAAACCGTCACCCCACATTTCAAACTTATCGGTTGAAGTAAGTGATTTCCTACAGAAGGCAGCTGGTGCTTTCTCCCTGCCACCTGTCATGATTGACGAATTGAAGAATACTTACAGACATTTTTTCGAACTTAGATCTTATCTTAAACATAAGTTGTCGAAAGCGTTTTAATAAAAAAAAGATCATTCAGCTTTTAAGATGTTAATAATGACATATTTGTAATTATAGTCGTAAAATTAAACAAGTTCGTCGTGGTATAATCTTAATCTTAACAATAAATTGGATTTACTTCTCCAAGAACAGCTTATGAGCCCTAAAACAACTTATTCTTGGGTCCTATAAGCTCATTTCAAGGAAATTTACTGAACGCTTTTTGAGAGCTTATACGCTATCGAGAAAAAAAAAATCAATTAAAATCGAACATCTTTAATTACCTTTCCATGTCCCAAAGGGACCATAAATGTTATGAAACCTTCCAATCCGGCATTCAATCCCGAAGTCCTTATTGTAGTGCTTACATAATTCTTCGGTTGCCAGCTTCTCTAACCCATAAGCATCTTGAGGCTAAAGTGTCAAAATAAATAAATAATAAATAAAACTCGTTACTATTATCGAAAAACCTAGTGCATAAATCGAAGTAAATTGTGAAGTAGAATTAGAGGAAATACCTCAGCAGGCCATGCATCAGATTCCTTCAAGCTCACATTAGTCTCCAACTGTTTAAATTCCGGATAGATACAAGCACTCGATGCATAAAAAAACCTAAACCACACAAACGCAAATACATATTCAGTTTCCGCCCCCAAAATGTACGTCCACATGGCATTCTATTACAAGATAAAATATCGATTTTCCACCAATTCTTTTGTCGTATTCAAAGATGGATTCCTTGTTCGGTGATTACTCATTACAATGGCAAATAATATTAGATTTTACGTCGGTCAACAGTATCATAGCCAAAATTCAAACGCATATATAAAAAAAAAGAGGGTTTTAAGGAAAGAAACGGGAGATTAGGACAGTGTTTAAGGAAGCATGTATATATTAATATACCTCTTAACACCGTTGATTCTTGCAGCTTCAATCATGTTAAAGCTGATCATTGTATTGTTGTACATAATGACGGAGTGGTTGGATTGAATGAAGCCCATGCCTCCCATATCGGCAGCAAGATTGAAGACGTGATCCACACCGTCGGTTACTTTCAGACAGTTGTCCATAACCCTCAGATCAACGAGATGGAATTCATTACAGAACATATCCTCCGTCATGTGCTCGTTTTTCTTCCAATCCGAAGCGATGATGTAATGGCCCTCACTCTTCAAACGCCTGGCAATATGGGAAGCGATAAATCCACCTGCTCCCGTAATGGAAATCCGAAGCTTTTCAGATGGCCAGTAGGGTTCCCTTTCGAGGGTTTCGTATGTGTATGATCCATAGTTGGTTTCGTCACTGCTTGCCATTCTGTAATTAATCAACAGATACAAAAGTTTTATTACAATCGAACAAAACAAATACAAATAAAGGGGGAAGAAAGTAAAATCAGCATACTTTGAATCAATAACAAACAGAATTAGGGTTTCCAGATTTTGGATTACGAGCAAACAGAAACAATCCACAAACATAACTCACTCAATCAGTCCTAAAATTCTATGAATAAAAAAAGATAATCAAAATCCAGACGAAAATATCAGCTAAGCTTTGCCCATTCATGAATTAAAACAATGGTGGAAATAATAAATTCCCAACTCAGAACCTCGAAATTCAACGAAAATGTGAATAATTTCATAAACTTTCAGTGGCAAACATGAATTTGTAACAGTAATTTCACAAACTTCGTAGATTTGAATTATTTTTCGTAAAAATTAATGAGCCGAAGATTCAGTATACCTCAGAAAGCTTGGGTTCTTCGAAATGCTTCCTCTGATGATAGATCTCTGCTCCTCTTCTACTGTGTATATATATATATATATATATATATATATATATATATATATATATATATATATATATATATATATATATATACACACACACACATTACACATATACATATACAGATATACTGCTGTCTGTACTCTGTTGTGCTGTTTTTTTTTTCTTTTGTCCTCCTAATTTTTTTAATTTTTTTTAATAAAAAATATTAGCATTTTAATTAAATGTTTTTTTTCCGATTAAAGGGCATTTAATATTTTATACAGTCCAATTAGAAAGGACAGATCATGTGTTAATGTTTTTTGCTATTTTTGAATTGATATGATTCTATGCAAGTATTTTTAATTTTCCATAATAATCATTAGAAAAAAATTAAAACAAATAAATAATAATAATAATAATTCTCCACATGTTGGTTTGGTTTTTTCTGTTAAATTTGTTATACCATCTTTTCATTTCTTTGAACTACATAGGATTTGACCCCATAAAAAAGTTCCATTGCTTTTTTTCCCAAGATTAATTAAAACATTAATTCATCTTAAACCGAATTTCAAGGTATTATGCGATCGCATGAGTAAAATTAATGTTAATTGTGTTGAATTATTATAATAATTGGAAAATAATCTTTAAACTTTTCAGAAAATTCATTGTAATCTCTTAAGTAAAAAATAAAAATTATAACCAAAAATATACAATAGAGCCAAATCAACAAAGTGGGATATTAATCACCTGTGGGCCCGAGATCTCAACTAATAGCCCCTCGTGGGCTGTTTGATCTTAATGGGTCAGATTAATCTATGGTCCGCAAAGAGTAGTACAGATAAACCTCTGTAAATTAATAGAATCGGGACTAGCAAAATACTATTAATGTGACGAAATATTAAATTATCTAACTAAAAATTTAGTACGTTTTTACCGAGTCGGGACCGGAAGAAATTATTATTTAAGCGAGGGTATTAATTTATCGAGGTTCTACTTAAAAGGAAAATGTTGAACTAAGGAATATAGCAAAACAAAGCCAAAATTTGACAATATTTCCTAATAATCATACAATATTCATCAAAATAAAAATAAAATAATACAAAAATATCCCAACCATTGTTTAAGTTTTAGAGAAAACAAAAATCTCAACTTATGGCCTGGAGGATTCTACAAAAAGAAACAAACACGGATTCGATTCTCGATTTTTCAAACCAAATAGTGAACTCACCTTGCTAAATGCGAAAAAAAGACGAGCAACCTTGATATTATCATGGGACATTCATAACCTGAATAGACTGCAACATATCAGACACAGCAATAACAAGGTCACCTGATTTCACCATTCCCCTGGCTTTAAGCAACGCGAAAGTCTTGTTCAGGTTGTTTTCCATGTCATCGGTAAAGCTCAAACGAAACGGAATCAGACCCCACTGGAGATTGAGGCGCCTACGTACAGATGTCGTTGTAGTAAACGCGAAAATCGGGCAGTCCGGGCGGCATCTCGATAGGAGAGATGCCATATGACCTGTCTTTGTGTATACGAAGATAGCATCCACCTCCAAATTGTTGGCTGCAAAATAATAAAGACCCATAGTTAGCACCTTAAACCAATATTAATTAAAAGAGGTTAACTGCGATGGAATAGCTTCGATTTTTCATTATAAGACACAAATGTATGAATTCTTTTTTTAAATTGTTGATTGAAAATAAATCTGGAGAACAAATGATACTTACCCATCTTGGCAGCAGAGTTGCATATCTCTTCGGAAATGCTGTCTGCAAAAGAAGATGCAATGGCAGGCAGTTCCATAGCTTCGCGTCGTTTTTCATCTCTCCACCATTTCTCAATTCTCAGGCTAACACTTCTCAAAACTGTCAACGATTTTTCAGGGAACTGGCCCATGGCAGACTCGCCGGAAAGCATTAACGCGTCGGCTCTCTGGCGGACTGCCTCAGAAACATCTGCCACTTCAGCTCTTGTAGGTGTAGGGTACTCTATCATTGATTCAAGTAGTTGACTGGCCACAATCACAGGCTTATTTAATTGCCTGCAGACTTGGACTATCCTTAGCTGTTCCGACGGAACTTGTTCCAAGGGAATTTGAGCTCCGAGATCTCCTCTTGCCACCATTGCTCCGTCTGATGCTCGAATGATTTCCTCCAAGTTCTTCAATGAGTCAATACTTTCGATTTTTGCAATCACAGAGATGTCACTGCATCACCACATTAATTTCTGTTAGTCCCATGAAGAACATCTTCAGAATTTCTATGAACAAACTTCATCCACAAAAGAAAAGTGAAAATCGGAAAAGAATTATAAACAAGCAGACCATGAGGTAATGCTAATATTTTGGGAAAAAAAGCTACATTGGCTTCATGTTCGAGAGAAAGAGTAATAATCTGTGATTTAACATAAAATCACCTGTCACGAGCCCGGGCCTTGATATAGCTCTTAAGATGCTTTATAACTTCTGCAGACTTTACAAACGATACAGCGATAAACTCAACTCCTTCAGCAATCCCGAAATCGATATCCAACCAATCCTGAGAAAGAATGCAAAAGAGTGAGACTAATTGAATACACATGAATACATGTTAAGAGTGAACTCAATGAACAAACAATAACACATTTCGAGAACAACAAGGCGTGCCCTGGACAAGTTGATAAGTCGATACTTGAAGGATAGGCACACAAACTACTTGGACCATTCTACTTTTACTAAATTGGATCTACCTTGGTAAATAGTTATTATCTTCAAATCCATGTCACAACGAATTAGGGCAGCAAAATGACATCCACAGATAATAAAATTACTAGGAAAAAACATTATGTTTATCTTTTAATGCATCTCTGTAAAAGTCTAGAAGACTGAAGGCAGATTTTTATATGTTGGGGAACACATCAAAGTCTCTTTATAGCAAAATTCAACAGCTGCAGCCATATCCGACAACAGTTTATTCATTCTCCGAAAGCTTATTTTCTAATAAAACTTTAACAAAGTCATTTAAATCCAAGTTATATTGCTACACACCTGTGTTTTTGCTACATAATGTAGATAAAATAACATTTCAGACATTTACATGGAAACTTAAATTCAATATCAAGGATATTGTACTTCGAAGAAAGTGAGCCGACAAAAAAAGAGAGGCGCAAACCTTTGAGGATATTGTAGGTAGCATAGCATTACGTTCCCGCACAAGGCTCCCATCACGCCAGAAGGTAAGATTAGCTCGAGGTAACAGAAGTCCTGGATCAGTACATCGACACTTGACATCTGGACCAATTATCTCAATCACATCAAACCTCACCATTCCACCATCTACTAGAAGTTCATCGCCTACTTCTACATCTGTTACATGAGAATTGACCAGCTTCATTAGCATGGTCAACCAAAGAGTACTATTGCAAAAACAATTACTTTAAATGCTTATCGTATAACTTGTTTGATAATGTATGCTTCTAACCTTCAGCAAAGCCACCATAGCTCACGTTGATGGTGCGTTCCGGAAGAGCCGAATCAAAAGATCGCACACTGAAAGTCCATATTTCACCATCCTGCATAAGTCATAAAAAAACGCAGAAATTTAAGCTCTAGACATTATAAAAAAGAAGTTATGAGTTGCAATTGTTTCTCAAACACGAAAAGTATACCATTCACTTCTCCAAGAAAAAAATACTTCTACGAGATGGTTGGGTACAGCTTAGTACAAATATACCAATTTCGGAGCCTATAAGATATGTTAGAAACCGCGTTCTATTTTCAAACATGTAAGTAACATCCACCTTACAAAACCTCAAAATTCACAACCACAGTAAAAACATCACACCACATCATAAATTATATCTCCAAATCTGCACTAACACAATTTTTTTCAACAATTGGCAATAACATAAATATATAATCTATGTTCGTTCAAAATCATTATATACTAGTTAGATTTCACAGTTCTCACTACCTCAGCTTTAGCCGACGAAGCACCGCCAAGATCCCCCATGTGAATTTCACTTCCCTCAGTATCCATCATAATCGCAACCGCAAACCCTTTCTCCTCATTCAACCTCCTCACGCGCTGAATCACCTCCTGATGCCACTCCCTGGTGCCATGGCACATATTAATCCTCGCCACATTCATCCCGCCCTCCGCCAGCGCCTCCAATTGCTCCGGGTTACACGTGGCAGGACCGATAGTGCAAATCAGCTTCGTGCGCCGCGTGCTCCTGAACCCGTTCTCCTTCAGCTCCGCCTCCGTCACCGCATCAACATCGATCGAGCTGGAATCGGAAACATGAAAAGGAGATCCGCCGACGCCGTTCGCCGATGTCAGCACAGACATATTCGGATCCGATGCAGAAGCTCTGATGCATAGAGAGGTTCGGCTAGGGTTTCCAGTGACGGGGAAACGGGGAACGGCATTGGGGAAAGTGATGGAAGGTTTGGTGGAGTGAGGGACGGAAATGAAGATATTGAGTGACTGCGCCATTTGCGCGGCCGAGCTCCGCCGTGGAGATTTTTGGTGGAGAAATTAGTGAAAGTGGAGATTTGGGAAGGGAGGTGGCGGAGAAAGTGTTCGTTGGAAGTTAATTAGAGGGAAGATTTATTGTGTGCGCGTGCTGTACACGCGCTTCCCTAAAATATAATATCAGTAAATTACATATACTCGCCCCAAAGTTAGATCAAATTACACCTAGAACCCTAACATTTGGAAAACTATATATTTGTCCATTGAAGTTTGGTCTCATCCACAAATCCAATCCAAGTGCAACAATTGTGACAAATTAATCCTCACCATAATGTTTTCTTGTGGCAACATAACTTTATTATGAGATTTTTTTAATCACAATATTCATTTTCTCCAAATAAACAACATACAAATCTTCAAAATAGTATTATCATAATTCCAATTAAAATATTGGGTTATTGGGTAAATAGCATTTAACCCCCCTTGTTTTGAATTTTTGTGCATACGACCCTTTTACTTTCAATATAAGCACATGACTCACCTGTAATTTGAACTTTGGGCAAATAGCATTTAATCCCCTTGTTTTGAGATTCTGTGCACATGACCCTCTTACTTTCAAAGTTTCAATATAAGCAAATGATTACCTTATAATTTGAACTTTTTGTACATGAACCCGTTGTAATTTTAATATGAACACATAGCTCCCTATGGTATTTCACTTCGTAAATAATTATGTTCATTGGGAAGATAAGATTTTTTAAAATACAAGGAATTATGTGCATAACTACTTATATTAAAATATAAGGGAGCCATGTGCTATATTAAAAGTACAAGGGTATCATATGCAAAAATTTCAAACTATAAGGGGGTAAGTGCAATTTACCCTAAAATATTATCTGATGTCGAAGTAAAGTAAGCAAATTGGCCCCCTGCCCTCCAAAAATTATAAATAACGAAAGCCCACCCATTAATCCACCCACTTTTAACAATAATACCAAATCACTTGACGAAGAAAAAGTAGATCGTTAAAATTCAACATTCCAAAAGCAAAATCACTAAAACCCATAATCACAAGCATAATCACTTCGGAGAAGGTTCGATTTGTTACTTTTCAATTATTATTTTTTTCGATTTTAATAAATTTGTTAGCTGTTTGCGTAATAATCTGATTTTGGATCTTGATTGGGTGATTTTAAATTGGCCGGAAAACACAGGGAAATCGATGGGGGCGCTGATGTCGAAGATGTGGTTCATGTTATTCCCGGCGAAGGAGTACAAGATCGTGGTGGTTGGCCTGGATAACGCCGGCAAAACGACGACGCTTTACAAACTCCATTTGGGGGAGGTGGTCACCACGCACCCCACCGTTGGCAGCAACGTTGAGGAGCTTGTCTACAAGAATATTCGATTTGAGGTACTGCTTTTCGATTTGTGTGTGTGTGTGTGTGTGTTCTTATACTGTTATACATACAGGATATATCAATTCCACCTCTGTTTTGAATACCTAATTAATAAGCAAATATGTTGAAATGATTAGTTATTTCCTCCAACAAAGGGTAATTAAGTGAAGTTTTCGATTATTTTTGTGATGGGTAGAAGTGACGGAGTGGAACGATGAATCTTTCAGTTTATTTGCAATGCTTGATGTTTCATTTATCACACCCTGCCGTAAAATCGAAGAGTTTCTCCATAAATAGATTTTGATGTTGTGGAAACTGAGATTAGATATATCTTTAGTTTTTGGATTGTCGGGTTGATTTTTTTTATTCTTAGTTCGCAACTGATATGAAATTGTTGGAAATTCATCGAGAGTTGGACGTTGTGAAAGAAAGCAGATAAATTCTGTTTTATCGGCACATCTCATTAGGGCGATCATGAATCCGTGCGTGTATATTTTTCATTTTAAAATTACCTTACATGAGTATGTTCTTGATATTGGATAGACCTGCTTGTATAATTGCTTACGGTAGAGTGAAACCCGAAAGTGGAATCGATTAAGAATTTTTTTTGCAGCAAGTACGATGATGGTTGTCTGTTAATTATCGGCATAAGGTAATACATATTCACATCTTCAGTTGGTATATATGTTAAGTTCAAGAAGTTATGACGTACGAGGTGAAAAATGAATTCGAATCGGGCTGTGTTTAACGATTCATAGTCATGATTTTTCTAGCACCTATATCTCACTAGGGAGTCGTTAGATGCAAAATACTAATTTCCATATGTTTGGGTTTTCGAAACTTTATAGTAGCTTTATCTCAGTGTAACATTGTTAGTTTTGTTTTCTTGAACTATACCATACTCGATTCTAGTTTCTATAAGTATAATGTAATCCGTATTTTCCTTTTTCTTTTTTTTTTGGCCCGATTTAACTCGAACATGTTCTGTTATTACAAGGTGTGGGATCTAGGTGGGCAAGACAGGCTAAGAACATCATGGGCAACCTACTACCGAGGAACGCACGCAGTTATAATAGTGATAGACAGCACAGATAGAGCTAGGATCTCGATAATGAAAGACGAACTATTTAGCCTGCTTCCAAACGAGGACTTGCAGGGTGCAGTGGTGCTCGTTTTTGCAAACAAACAGGACCTGAAAGACGCGATGACTCCAGCTGAAATAACCGATGCGCTCTCGCTTCACAGCATAAAGAACCACGATTGGCATATTCAAGCTTGCTGTGCGCTCACTGGCGAAGGTCTTTACGATGGCTTGGGTTGGATTGCACAGAGAGTTACCGGTAAAGCTACAAGCTAGAAAAAAAAAACAACCTTTGAACTTTCGAGATTATTAAAAGAATGACAGGTATTTCATATGTGATGTTTGTCTGCACTTGTATATATATATATATATATATATATATATATATATATATATATATATATATTTGATTCAGTTCTAATGTTGTTTTTATGAAATATTACTTTGCCTCTCACAGTATTTCATTATTATAAATGAATGTTTTAATTTAATTTCGACTGTGAAATGTGTTTAAGTTGGAATAACTTAACAAGTTCATGTTCAGTAGCTATAGAAAAAAATACAATAAAGCAAGTAAATTACGGCAGTAAGTTCAAATTATGAGAAAAAAATACCTCATGTTTAGATACAACTACTCCTAGACTATAGATCTTCTTCCACGTCTAGCCTTATAGTTTTAAATTCAACTGAATCTTTTAGATTTCGCTGGATGTTATCTACAGTTAAACCTCTATAAATTAGTATAGTCGGGACTAGGGAAATTCTATTAATATAGCGAATTATTAAATTATTGAGTTAATATATTAACACATTTTTACCGAGTCGGGATCGAGAGAAACTATTATTTAATCAAGGTTATTAATATATCGAGATTATATTGTAGTTTGTACTTGTTTTGTGCAAAAATGCAGTCTTTGATGCACCACAATCTGATATTTACAAGTCAAAATGTGGAGCTCGAATGTGGTAAAATGGGTACAAACTGGAGAATATTTCATATAATCTAGAAAATTCCACTAAATGTGACACCACGAGAGTAAGCATGTAAGGAGATTCATAATTGATGGGTGATTGTAATTACCTAAACATAAATATTTGTTTTCTTCCTAATTTGACCTTACCGAGTTTGGACCTAATACCCTAAAATTAAATCAGAATTGTAAATACCCTACTAAATTTGGGGTGGGGGGTGGGGGTGGGTTGGGGGTTGAAAGTATGTTCAGATTCGCAATATTTACTATTAGAACTTATAAATTGATTTTATTTACATTTTATAATATTTTATTATTTTTACTATTATTGTAAACAAGATTTACATGGCATCCACGTTGACTCCTCACTGCCACGTTGACATCCATGTCAAATATACCCCATTATGTTAGCCCAGTTACGGCTTTCATTTCGGCCCATGGCCGCTCCGGCATACCCAGACCAACGCAGCCCCAGACCACCTTCATATACAGTTTTCATCCCTTAAGTTTGCACCGATTTTACATTTGGTTCTTTATGTTTACAAAAAATACATTTGGTCCTTTATGTTACAAAAAGTAGACGCATTTAATTTTTTTCCGTCAATTTTTTATTAGTACTAACGGAATTAAGCGTGTGCTCATGAGCCCATCATTGACTTAACTGATAGCTAACGTGAATTGATGAAAATGATAAAAAATGTTAAATTATTCGAACATGAAGGACCAAATGTATTTTTTGTGAAATTGGGAGACCCAATGACAAATCGGTGCAAACTTGAGGGGTGAAAACTATATTTTTCCCATAAGGAATTTCTTAAAAAAAAAAAAAAAAAAAAAGAACAAATGTTAGTTATTTTTTAATGAAACTTGACTAACATCGTGCCACTAAAATGTGCAATTTGGGGTATCAAATACTTATTTACAGTTTTAGACGTATTCCTATACCTATATATACTTATTCCTCATACAGCTGTTTAAGAAAAAGTATATATTCAAATTTATTTTCCAAGTGGTTGAATTAATACGTATTAAGAATCTAATTATGGAAATCAAAAACATAGTAAGTCATGGTTTTAAATGTCAACGACTGAGTGCATGAGTTATCTTCCTAGTTGCTTGAATAAAATAAGTGTTGGACTTTGTTTGGTATTTATTCTCAACATTTTTTGATGGAATAAAGGTGGAAATCGATACTAGAATTTCCGATTTTTACCAATTTTGTTTCGAAATTTTTCGATTTTTCATTCTGAATTTGGAAATCAATTTTTTTCATTTTCCAATTCCTAAAATTCCGACATTTTTAACCCAAAAATTACACTTAAAACGTCGATATTATTATGTTTTTAGGTGATCAAACGTTTGATAAATTCAGGATTTGAATTGATGTCCTTTCACTTATTCCTCATAAATTGAGAAAAAAATACAGTTTTTATCCCTCAAGTTTGTATCAATTTCAGATTTGAACCCCATGTTCACAAAAAGTGCTTTTGGTCCATTCTTTTTTCACAAGTTCAACATTGTTGTTAGTTTCACTAGAATCAAGCGTGTGGCCATAACTGCTTTAACTAACAAACTAATAGTAAATTGACAGAAATGACCAAAAATATTAAATTCTTAAAACATAAGTGACAAAATATTTTTTGTGAACACGAGGGACCAAATTTGAGATAAAAGCAAACTTGAGGGATGAAAACTATAATTTCCCCCTAAATCGTATGTCCAATCCGAAAGTTTTTCGACTTTTCAATTTTTTTACTTTTATAAATCCATGGTGGAACTAATTTTCAATTCCAAATAGATAGCAATGAAAAATATTATTTATTTTTCCTAAACTTTAATGAAAATGGTTACGCATAAGTTTTTGCTGTCTCATTAACTCCAACAAGGATATAACTCTCTCTCTCTCTCTCTCTCTCTCTCTCTCTCTCTCTCTCTCTCTCTCTCTCATAAACACATACGTATACACATAGAAAACCTGATCATGGCAGATACGCTGAGTGAAGAACAGCTGATTGCTGTGCTGCAGAAAGCTTTCTATGAGTTTGACACAAATGGAGATGGTTAATTTTCTACTTCTTAATTATTAGTACTTCCATTATATATATACACACACACACACACAGCTCATTAAAAGAATTGAACAAAACTGCAGGGAGCTTAAACATAGAAGAACTGGATGCAATGATGAGGGCAGGTTTTATTAAAAATCGAAGTGCCAAAGCGCTCCGAGACATGTTCAATAAAGCCGATTCCAACGGAAACGGTACTATTGAATTGGACGAATTCATGAACATGGCCAAGGGAGAGGTTTGTATAATTGTATCAGTGTTTGTTTGTGTGTGTGATTTTTTTTTCTTTTTTTTTTTTCTTTTTAGGGTTAAATACAATTTAATCATATGTAAGACTTACCCCTCAAGCACCATTTAATCTTTTTTTTTTTAAGTTTTGGTACCTAAAAATTTTCTACTTTAGTGAAAGGAATAACTAAAAAGAATAATTACATTATATTATTAAAATTATCTATTAAAAAAATTCCATATTTAAAAATTTAAAGATATTATCTTGCTTTGGGTACATATTGAATAAATAACATCTCGTTGTTGTACAATTAATTGAATATATTCACATTGATAAATTTAAAAAAATTAATACATAATGAATTTTAATCTTAAGTATTTGAATTTATTTTAGTTTATTAACTTCTTAAAATATATTTTCATGCATAATTATGCAATGTATATTTTTTTTTTAATTTTTTTCAAAAATTTAATTTTAGTTACTTTTTTGATTTTATATGATCCAATAATTATTAGATTGTTATGTTATTATTATACCAAAGAAATATAAAATTTTGAATATACTGCATTGACTTTTCAATTGGCATTTTTGATAAATTATTTTTCAATTATTCTATCCTATGAAATTGGAAATATATTAAAATTATTAGTATTATGTTTTAAAGTTTAAAATACAAAATAATTGATGTTGAATTCCAACGGATAAACATTAAAATAGAACATCAAATGCTCATTTGATACTTCTTATATTATTTGATACCTCTTTAAAAGTTTTTTATTCCAACTATAGATATTAAATTCATTATCAAAATTTAAATAATTGAATAATTCTATTTTTTAAATAACACGTGTCAGTCAATTCATGATAGATAGATTGGGTGGTTACAATTTTGATACTTCATTTTTCAGGATGCATTTTGGCACCTCTCCTATAGGAGGTTGAGTATCAAATTAACTATCAATTGTGTGTCTTCATTGGAGTGCAATATTTTGAGTTTTGGGAATCGAAATGGTAGTTTTATCATTTGATACTCCATTTAATTCCCCAATTGGGGTTGCTCTAAGTGTTACAAATGATACTTTAAGGGGACAAGTGTTACATAAGCTATATTTCAAAGGTGCAAAGTGTAATTTTTTTTAATGGAACTAGGGATCTTACGGGAAATTAGATATTTTACCTGATTACTTACACCGGGTGGATTCGAACGGTAGACCTACACATAATCACACACACACACACACACACATGTGCATGTGTAGTGGTGGTTACTTGATTAAATCAAGTAATCTACTATTTAAATCCACTCAGTGTAAATAACCAGGTGTAGCATCTAACTCCTAGGATCTTACATAGGGCTAGACATGACCATGGTTACGGTTTTAATCGAAACCAAACCCTGGTCAACGGTTAGAAAATCAGAACCGATTTGACCAAAACCGAATTGTAGAGCCGTTTTTTAAAAGAATAATAATAAAAATAATAATAATATATTGTAACTATCGATTTTTTTTTAAAGAAAATCATAAAAAAATTAGGGACAATTGTCCTTTTCAATTAGGGATAACACTTTTTGTATCTATATTGCTCTAAAATTATACACAAATTTGTTTACTTCACAATGATCAATTCTGCTTTCAGGAAGTCGACCAACCACGTCCATTAAATCAAGCCAATTAATTGTGTTTACTTAATTAGCTAATTTTTTTTTTAAATCAAATAAAACGGGGTTTCACAAAAAAGAAAAAGAAAAAAAGGCTTTACCATTTATCACTAAGGTGGTGTTTGCAAATGCTTTTTGAAAGTGATTATGCGATTTTTTTTTGCTCATAATCTGTTTTTAGGTGTTTGCAAAATCAACTTTTGCTTTTGCTTCTCTTAAAATAATCTGCTTTAAGCTATTTTTTTAAAAGCACCCATAACCATGCTTTTTCAATTTTAGTTCATTTTCCGAAATATTTGCAAACACCCCTAACTTTTAGAAATAAGCACTTAAAACTAACTTAAATCACAATCACTAACTTCTGCTTTTAAATAATCATTTGCAAACACCACCTAATTATGTAAAGTAGTGAGGAGTATATCGTAATTATCTCAATAAAATAAAAAGCTTAATAGAAAAGATAAAACTATAATAAAAAAGTATTAACTTATAAATTTGAAATTAAAATTTTTTGATAGATAATCATTGAAAAGTTTTTTAAAATTTGAAATTAAAAATAAGAAACATGAAATTTACCGTGCAAATTTTGCAATGCAATTTTTTTAAAAGTAAAAAAATATTTTTTTAAGTATTTTTAAAATTATTGTATCTTTTCGAGTGTCTACAATATTTTTTTCAAAAGCTTTTGCAAATGTTTTTTTCCAAAAACAAAAATTATCCAGAACCGGTCGAACCGGGGTGGTTAGGACCGGAACTAGAACCGACGCTTTTCGAACCGTTTTAAACCGTCTACGTACGGTTCAGTTACCGGTTCCTCCAAAACCGGAACCAAATCGAATCGTGGTCGTGTCTACATAGAGCACATTAGGTGCAACTTTTTTATTTTTTGAAGAAATATCATTTTTCAAGTTTTAGTGTAATTTCTTTTTCCCACTTTTACTTCAAATTATTTTACTCAATATTTTACCTTGTAACCAAACATGAAAAGCGATTTCTTGGTATTTTCATCATTTTACGTATCATTTTCCATGAACCAAACAGAATCTATATGTGCTGAACAAAGAACAAATTGTTGAGATTCAGGAAGCTTTCACAATGTTTGACAAAGATGGAGATGGTTAGTATTTGCAATTCTTAATACATACTTACATTTTTCTATACATTTTTTGTTACAAAATAAGTATAGTTTTGGGTTGGTGCATGTATTAAGAAATTAAATTGATAAATTAAATGTATATACTTTCTCATGAATAAACATAGAATGTGACTAAAATACCCTTCACGCTAATATTATTTCCAGCAATTTTCTCTCGACTAACTAAACAAACATCAAAAGTACAAAACTAACAGAACTGTAGTTATTGCATGATTGAAATTGTTAAATGATAGATAATATGTTATGAGAAAATCAGTTCTCTAATTAAAACCGACAGAAGACAATTAATTTGAAATGAAAGGAAAATGAGTACTGGTTTAATTTTCTTGTCTTTCCATTCCAATTTGTGTCCAAATATATATATATACACACACACACACCTTGATCATGATATATAAGGATTGAACAAAACTGCAGGTTGTATTACCATAGAAGATCTTGCTACAATGATGAGGTGTTTGGATCAAAATCCGACTCAGAGAGAGCTCCATGACATAATGAATGAAATCGATTTGAACAGAAACGGGACGATAGAATTCGACGAATTCTTGGACCACATGTCCAAGAATATAAAGGTTTGTCTATCATTGTGTGTGTGTGTGTGTGTGTTTAAATGTGTGGTTTCTTTCTGCAATTAATTACTAAATAAAGCATGTAAATTTATATCAGGAAAGTAAGGATATGAGCCTCAGAGAAGCTTTCAATGTGTTTGATGCGGATCAAAATGGTTACATATCAGCTAATGAGGTGAGCTTATCTTAATCATTCACATCATGGAACACTATATATTATTAAAAAAAAAGTTATGAAAGCTATTGAACTTAGGTCAACTTAAGAAAAACACCCCCACCTATTGGTAATTATCAAAATCCTCCGACATTTCAGCTTATAGTGTGATTCTTCACGGAATCTTTTTCATTATTGGGAATATTTTCTGAAAAATAACGATTTTACCCCTACAAACGTGAGATTTATTTATAGTACTTTTTAAAGGCGAAAATTACCCTAGGGGGGTTTTACACAGAATATTTATTTTTTTTAAATAACACATTCTGAACTTTTTAGTATTATCATTACCCTTCTTAGTGTAATTTTTGTCTTAAAAAAGTTAACATAAAGAAATGACACGTCTATAGGGGTAGGATTGATAGACAAAATCGCACCATAGGAGGTCGATGTAAGACATAACAAACGTCGGGGAGATTTTGGTAATTATGAATATAGTTGATCTGTTGTATGAATCTTTTAATGTTTTTTTATAAATAAAATAAATTATGGGCAGTTTCGGCAGGGGATGCTAAACTTATTCGGACGCGAAATAACATACGAGGAGGCAGAAGAGATGATTAGAAAATCAGATTTGGATGGTGATGCACATGCTAATTTTATTGAATTTGTCAATATTTTGAGCACCCTTTGCTAATTACTACATCACATTTTATTTTTATTTTAATAAATAATTGTTGTATTCTTCCATATTTTGTAATGAAATTATATATTTCGTCGTGTTTGCAAGTTATCCAAATTTATTAATTTTTCGATTTTTTTTTTTTCCTTTTCGGAATTACTTATACAGTTCTGATCCGATCCGCACAATTTCCATTAGTATTCTAGTATATTCGACTAATATTAGTCAACTAATATGCGATGAGCACGACCTAACATGCGTAATTAATTATTTTGATCATCTAATTATGTTTTGTAAATTATTAAACTTTAATTTAATGAAAGTTGGAGGCATTTACACAATGCTTTGCTGTCTCATCTCTAATATTATATATTCCACATTAACCCCAACAAGGATTCAGCTATATATACATATCTCTCTCTCTCTCTAGATCTCTCTCTCTCTAAACACACACTAAACACGCACAAAAACACACACTCGCACATATAGTTGGATCTTGTCGAGGAAACCTCATGGCAGATATGCTTACTGAAGAACAGATTCTTGAGTTCCAGTCAGCTTTCACTCTGTTTGATCAAGATGGAGATGGTTAGTTTTTACTTCTTATTTAAGACATGATACACACACACACACACACACACACACACACACACAACCGGTTGTTAAGGATTGAACAAAAACTGCAGGGTGCATAAATATAGAAGAACTGGGTATAGTGATGAGGTCTTTGAATCAAAATCCAACTGAGAAAGAGCTCCGCGACATGATCAACGAAGTCGACTCCGACGGAAACGGGACCATAGATTTCGATGAATTCTTGAACCTCATGACTGCCAAGAAAATGCAGGTATTTTGTTATATGTAGTTAAACCACAAATTTCTACGTCTGCAAAATATAAATTAACACATTGAATTCAAATATATATTTATACGGAGATCCGTACAATTTTCGTAAATTCGTCTGATTCTTCTCTCCTCATTCGAATTAAGGGCATAGAAGTTTGTTTTTCAATCGAATAAATATAAACACATTGAATTCAAATATATATGTTATACGTGAATTCGGAACGAAAACTCGAGACTTACAGGTGTTGAATGCAATACACCCTTTTACATAAATTCCAGCAAAGATTCAACTATACTCATCTCTCTCTCTCTCTCTCTCTCTCTCTCTCTCTCTCTCTCTCTCTCTCTCTCTCTCTCTCTCTCTCTCTCTCTCTCCCCAAAAAACACATACTAGGTAAGTGATGTGCTGAATGAAGAACAGATTGTTGAGTTCCAGGAAGCTTTCACAACGTTTGACAAAGATGGAGATGGTAATTATTTTTTCTGCCCTTTCTTAATATACATATACATTGTCCTAACTTCATTCGTTTCATAATAAGTATCGTTTCAAGTTGTTGCGTACGTATCAAGAAAATTAGTAAATTTAATTATAATTTTTAGGAATATACATAAAATGTGACTAAAATACCCTTGTCACTAACTGTAATTAACGCATCTATCTGCAGGGTCCATTACCATAGAAGATCTTGCTAGAATGATGAGGTGTTTGGATCAAATTAATCCAACTGAAAAGGATCTCCGTGGCATAATCAATGAAATCGATTCCGATGGAAACGGAACCATAGAACTCGACGAATTCTTAATCCACATGGCCAAGAAATTAAAGGTGATTTTTTTTTTATTAAAATTAAACCAGTGTTTTTTTTTTTCTTTCAATATATGGTTTAATTATGCATTTACTAACTAAATAAGCATGTTTATTTATTTATTAATCAGGAAATTGATGAAGCCAAAGAAACTTTCAAAGTGTTTGATATAGATCAAAATGGTTATATATCAGCTAATGAGGTCAGCTAATCTTAATTAGTCCATTCTTGATTATTAATACAGATCTAGCTAGAGACTAATTAATTACTTTCAAAAATTCCAATTGTATATTCAAATAATAATAATAATAATTAAATGTATTATATGCGCAGATTCGGCAGAAATTAGGGCATAAATTAACAGATGAAGAGGTGAACCAGATGATTAGAGAGGCTGATTTGGATGGTGATGGACAAATTAGTTTTGATGAATTTGTCAAGAATATGGCCACTGCTTCTAATTAGAACATCACAACTTTAATTAATTAATTAATTCTCATATATATATATATATATTCATTTCTGTTCATCTCATGTTTTAATGTTGCTAAAATTATTTTAGTTTCTCTAATTTGTAGTCAAATTAAATACTTCGTGTTTGCAAGTTAATTCCCTCCATATTTTTTTAATAATAATAATTTAATTTTATTATATTATGTGGAGCTGTAGAATTTCAATGGCCCAATGGGTCCGGAGAATCATGCAGACCCATCACCTCTCTCATCTGGCCCGAACCCAGGCCCATAATTTTCAAGCCCACCAAATCCTTTTTATTTTATTTTAATTTAATTAATTAATTATTATTATTATTTTTTTTTTATTATTATTATTATTATAATTCAGATCTTCTATGGTAATGCGCCTTCGACTTGTTCAAGCTTGTTCATAGAAAGCTTTACTCTACAATGTGAAACTAATTATGTGCGTGTGTTTATATATGGGGTTTATTAGGGATAACCCCCTTGTTCATATTTTCTAATGAGGTAGATCCAATTTTTTTTCCCCTTTTTGATATAGATCCAATTTTGCCAACTTGGCAAAATATATTATATAATTTTCCTTTAATACCCCTGTTTTATTTTTAAACCGCATTTATTTCCTTTACTACGTGATTTGAGATTTGCTGATACGTTGCCTAAAATCACGGAATAAAATTACGTGAGATCATTGGACGTTATATCAAATCGTGTACAATATTTTTCGAAGGTTAACCGGGTATGAATGCGTTATTCGTTTTTATTTTTCGCTCAATGTCTAGGATTGTCGATTACGGTGGTTAGAAATTTTAAGAGTTGTGTTGATACTTGATTCTATGAAGTAGAACGTTTTTTAACAAAATTACGTCGTCATATATACATCGTTATTTTTGGCGGATGATGTTTGTTTGGAAGAGGATTGACAGAGTTAGAAGATGATGGTTCACGCAGATCGGACCAGAGTTGTTTTATATGAGCTTCGTAGTTGGTTTATGCAATAATCGGAATAATTGTCTGTTGTGGTCGAGTTCATGTTTTTGATCCCGATCAATAGTTGGTTTATTTGTTTATAACAGCCGATTTAAGTGTGCTGGGTAGTACATTAAAATATAGTTCGTAGTCTTTTTTAAATTAGCGTATGGATTTTGCATTTTAAGTTTATTTTTGATGATATTAATGTATTGTCATTCAAATGTATTTGCAGTCTATTTAATCATTTTTTAGTATTCTGCATTTTTAATTTTGTTTCATGATTTTAGGTTTTTTCGATGGCGAATTTCGTAAGGATTTTGTTGAGGTTTGGTGGGTTGGTTGCTATAAAGAGGTGTTTACGATGTAATGGCTCGGTAACTTTGGTTAAGTTTTAAACCGTTGTAATACAGTAGTATACTATTATGAATACCGTATGATACTACCATTATCATTTTATTATACTATTATGCGATTATTAATGTACTAGAGTTTTTTAACTCGACATATTGGTTTGATTGTGTTATGATGTGTTTTATGTATTTTATCAAAACCCTAGATTGAAATTATGAGATTATTAATGTACTATTTTATTGGTTATGTTGGAATACTTTACGTTGGTGTTGTTCTCAATGTTCTTGTCATTTCAGTGGTATATTGTTTGTAACACAATTCATATCACTACTATAACCGTAATATACTATCATAGCAGATCAATGTACTATATTGAAATTATTAATATACTATGTGGTTGAATAATACGGGATCCATAGTCGATTAACGAGATCCTTAGTCGAATTAGATGAGTAAGATAGTCTATTACATGATATAAGGAAAATTACCCTAATTGATTAGTATTTCAAACAAACATATTATTCAGTTTCCATATATATTATTATTTTTTCATATATATCATTATTTACCCTAATCGTTTTCATATAATAAGGAAAATTACCCGAATTGATTAGTATTTCAAACAAACATATTATTCAGTTTCCATATATATTATTATTTTTCCAATAGTCAATTAACTAAACCCATAGTCGAATTAGATACATGGGATAGTCTATTAAAAGATATGAGATAGTCTATTAATTTTAAAACACAAATCCGCCGCCGTCACTTCTCAAATCTAGGGTTTTGATGATTCTTCGGCCCATAGTCGATTAACGAGATCCATAGTAAAATTATACCAGTGGGATAGTCTATTAAATGATATGGGATAGTATATTAATACAGATGTAATTCGACTATGCATCTCGTTAATCAACTATGGGCCGAAAATTTATCAAAACCCTAGATTTGAGTAATCCTATATTTGAGTAACCCTAGATTGGAGCAGGACGGCGACGGCGACGGCCAACGACGATATCACTTCTGGTGGATGTCCTGCCCATCAATTGTTGCAATATCACTGATTTAGTGCTCGAATGCGGTATGCGATTATGACAGATTTGCAAATACACAAACGTGATAGTCGATTTAGCCAAAACATATCAACAAATCGATGGATGATAGCGATTCAGCGAGTGGCGACGACGTACCTACGGCAGCTTGCTCGGAGTGCACGAAAATCGTCGTTTCACGGCAGTGCAGACGTCTTCCCCTTTCAATCGGCCGTACCGGGAAGTTGTTCTGGGAGGTTTTGCAGTTTATCCGATAGTGGGGTTTGGGATGATAGTGATTTAACGGGAAAATAGGAAGGGATTTGATTTTATTTCAAAAGGTAAAGTAACGGGTTTTGTGGGATTTGATTGAGGGTAATTATGTGATTAGGAAAAGTTTGGGCTCTTATCAAAATGGCAAATATAAATTTGGGTCTACCCCTATTATTTGAATGTTTAAGGGGGTTATATCTAATAGACCCTTATATATATATATATATAGAGAGAGAGAGAGAGAGATCTAGAGAGAGAGAGAGAGATGAGTATAGCTGGGTTTAATTTGTATCTCTCTTTATAAATTTTAATGATTTTGTTACAATATATTATATTATTAGATATTATAGGATATAATGATTTTATTATGATTCGATAACCTAGATTAGTTAGGATTGAGTTACCTAGTCCAACTCTATTTACCTTGCATTATTTACCTATATATATTCCATGTAAATCAACCCATAACATAGTGGGGATTTCTATTATATTACGTATTATTATTTCTCTCTTTCTTCTATTCTATTCTTCCTATAGATTTTGCTAATAAAAGCGATTTACCTAATATTTTCATCTTTTTACGTATCATTTTGCATGAACCAAACAGCGTGTATATGTGCTGAACAAAGAACAAATTGTTGATTATCCAGGAAGCTTTCACATTGTTTGACAAAGATGGAGATGGTTAGTATTTGCACTTCTTACTACTTACATTTCCATGTATATTATTTGTGGGAAAAATAGAGTTTCCATCCAGAAAGAATAATGTTTAATTTAATTTCGACCGTATAAATTGGACTGTAAATACCTTAATAAATGTTTGTTACCCCCATTCCCTTTCCCATATAACAAATTTGAAACGGAGTTTATACGTGTACCCAACAAAAAGGCATCAACATTGATTTCAAAATTCGAAAAAAAAAATAAGAAAAATCAAACATTTGATTTCAAAATTCGCAATGAATATTACTGTTCCAAAATCGAAAGATTTCGAATCGAAATAGGTAAAAATCAATAGAATCCCGTTTCGATTTCCACCGTTATACAAGACAGTTATAAATTTCCATAAAAAAATATTGAAAATAAAATACAAACAAAGTGTAGTACTCGCTTTATTCATTCTTGCAACTCTAGCAAGTCAACTCATGCTTTGACCTTTAAAATGTGATGTAGTAATTAGCAAAGGGTGCTCAAAATATTGACAAATTCAATAAAATTAGCATGTGCATCACCATCCAAATCTGATTTTCTAATCATCTCTTCCGCCTCTGCATATGTTATTTCGCGCCCTATTAAGCATAGCATCCCCTTCCGAAGCTGCGCATAATATATTTCATTCACTAATTAATTTTATATATAGAAGATTCATACAACATATCAACTATAGAAGATTTTAATTATTTTTTGGGTAAATAACTTAAATCCCTCTGAACTTAGGTTAAATTATGAAAGTCACCCCACCTAACCGTAATTATCAAAATGCCCACGATGTTTCTTTCAGTTTTACACAGATCCCCTTAGGGTGTGATTTTTCGCTTAATGTTCTTTAATCTAGGTAATATTTTCTGGAAAATGTCAATTCAACCATGTAGACGTGGCATTTCTTCATTTCAGCTTTTTTAATAATCTTTATAATATATATATATATTGTCCATGATGTGAATAATTAAGATAAGCTCACCTCATTAGCTGATATGTAACCATTTTGATCCTCATCAAACACTTTGAAAGCTTGTCTGAGGCTCATACAATACCTTTCCTGATAAAAGTTAACATGCTTATTTACTAGTAATTAAATGCTGAATTAAACCATACATTTATAAAATTAAAATAATAATAATAATAATAAAACACACACACACACACACACACACCGATAGACAAACCTTTATATTCTTGGACATGTGGTCCAAGAATTCGTCGAACTCTATCGTTCCGTTTCTGTTCAAATCGATTTCATTCATAATGTCATGGAGCTCTCTCTGAGTCGGATTTTGATCCAAACACCTCATCATTGTAGCAAGATCTTCTATGGTAATACAACCTGCAGTTTTGTTCAATCCTTATATATCATGATCAAAGTGTGTGTGTGTGTGTGTGTGTATCTAATATATAGGTGGACACAATTGAAATGTAAAGGACAGAAAATTAAACTACGTACTCCTTTTCCTTTCGTTTCAATTAACTGTCGACTGTCGATTTTTTTTTTATTAGAGAACTACTCTTTGTCATACCATATCATCTATCACGTAACAATTCCAATGATGCAATGTACGATACAGTTCTCTCAGTTTTGTAATTTTCAGGTTTGGTTAGCTAGTGGACAGAGAATTGGTGGAAATAAATTTAATGTGAAGGATATTTCAGTCACATTTTATGTTTATTCATGTTTGCATCGATTTCACATATGGTCCTCTATATTTACAAAAAACACATGTTTGGTCCTTCATGTTTCAGAAGTTCAACATTTTAGTCATTTTTGTCAATTTTCTGTTAGGTCTAATGGAATCAAGCGTGTGACCATCACTCTCTTAACTTACAAACTAACTAACAGTAAATTGACGGAAAAAAATCGAAAATTTTAATTACTGAAACAGGAGGGAACATATGCATTTTTTGCGAACATGAGAATTAAATGTGAAATCAATGCAAACTTGTGGGATGAAAACTATAGTTTTCTCAAAATATAAGTATTAATAAGTGCAAATACTAACCATCACCATCTTTGTCAAACATTGTGAAAGCTTCTTGGAACTCAACAATTTGTTCTTTGTTCAGCACATATATACTCTGTTTGGTTCATGAAAATGATACGTAAAAAGATGAAAATATTAGATAAATTGTTTTTCGTGTTTGGTTACAAGGTAAAATACAGAGTAAAGTAATACAAAGTAAAAATTGGGAAAAAAAATTACACTAAAACTAGAAAAATGTGAGGAACACTCCCCGTACAAATTTCGACAGCTCTTTTTTTGTTTATTTTTTTGCTTTTACATTTTCATTTTCCTAAATTCGAAATCCATGAACCAAATAAAGCCATATTGTCGCGACCTTGCGTGTGTTTTTGGAGACAGAGATGATCGGTATATAGTTGAACCATTGATGAGAGTTATGTAAAAGGGTTTAATACATTCCAACATCTTTATGTTTATTATATTTGTTAAAAGAGTCCTTGTGTTATTAATATTAGCAAAATCTCCCCTATAATGCAACATTTTTTGCAAATTTTCCCCTAAAAAACCTCACCATTTCGGGAGTTTTTTTTGCTAAGAAAATATATTATAAGATACTTTTTGGCTAGTTTTAATTTTACTTAATTTATTTTTAACAATTCAGTGGTACTAAATACAATAAAGTCTATGTAAATTGGGGAATGTGAAAATAACAAAGCCTTGTAAATGTTTCCCATGTTTAAAATAATTTATATGAGTCAATAAGAAATAAATTGGAGAAAAAAAAAAGTAGTTAATGCATCATTAATTAAAATTTCAAAAGAGACACATTATTTATCTCTTTCGAGAGAAAAATAAAAATAAAATTTATTGCTTCAAATCAATTGTCACTTTAGAATTTGATGAATCATTTATTAATCATGTTTTCGTTTTAATAATTTTGTTATATACAGAAAAAATTAAAAAAAAAAAAAATCACACACACTGGTACAAACCTCTCCCTTGGCCCCGTTCAACAATTCGTCCAATTCTACGGTACCGCTTCCGTCGTAGTCGAGTCTATTGAACATGTCACGGACCTCTTTCGGAGTTAGATATCGACCATAACGTAACCTCATCATTTTATTGAATTCCTCTATGTTTAATCGCCCTGCAGTTTTGTTCAATCCTTTCCTTAATCAGGTGTGTGTATGTATAGTATTATAATGTAAGAATAAATTAATTAAAAAGTAGAAAACTACCATCTCGATCTGTGTCAAACTCGTAGAAAGCTTTCTGCAATATAGCAATCTGCTGTTCTTCAGTCAACGTATTTGCCATGATCAGGTTTCCTCTACAATATGAAACTAATTATGTGTGTGTGTGTGTGTTTAATTTCTGTAGAGAGAGAGAGAGAGATTCTAGAGAGAGAAGATGTAATTAAGTGATGTGAAATATAAGTTGATTAAGTTTATGAGGGTTTACTTTGAAATATTATATAGATTAATGAACCAAGTCCAAGGCGTGCAAAACCGAGTTGACAGCCAAACCCATATGTTGTTTTTTTATATTGTAAACAAAATTAATTATATTAATTAATCTTTAGTTTAAATGAGTAGTTTTCAGTTTTCACTTCCGATTTTTTAAAATTTTTCAATTTTCCATTTATGTTTATCCGAGTAGTTTTCAGTTTTCACTTCCGATTTTTTAAATTTTTTTCCTTTTCGGAATTACTTATACAGTTCTGATCCGATCCGCACAATTTCCACTAGTATTCTAGTATATTCGACTATAATAGTAGTCAACTAATATGCGATGAGCACGACCTAACATGCGTAATTAATTATTTTGATCATCTAATTATGTTTTGTAAATTATTAAACTTTAATTTAATGAAAGTTGGAGGCATTTACACAATGCTTTGCTGTCTCATCTCTAATATTATATATTCCACATTAACCCCAACAAGGATTCAGCTATATATACATATCTCTCTCTCTCTCTAGATCTCTCTCTCTCTAAACACACACTAAACACGCACAGATTCTTGAGTTTCAGACATCTTTCAATGTGTTTGACAAAGATGGAGATGGTTAGTTTTTACTTCTTAATTTATACATTATATATACGCGCGCGCGCGCGCGCACGCACACAGGCAGACAACCGGTTGTTAAGGATTGAACAAAAACTGCAGGGTGCATAAATATAGAAGAACTGGGTATAGTGATGAGGTCTTTGGATCAAAATCCAAGTGAGAAAGAGCTCCGCGACATGATCAACGAGGTCGACTCCGACGGAAACGGGACCATAGATTTCGATGAATTCTTGAACCTCATGACTGCCAAGGAAAAAATGCAGGTTTGTATGTATATATGTTAACCACAAATTTCTTCGTCTGCAAAATTTAAACACGGGAACAACTAAATTTATTATCAAACGAAAAAATGAGATTGCAATCTCTGTAAATTTCTCTGATTTTTCTCTCCTAATTCAATTCAAGGGCTTAGAAGCCTTCTATAGTCGAATAAATATAAACACATTGAATTCAAATATGTTATCATGAATTCGCAGTGGAGACTCAAGACTTGAGCTTCCGTGCTCGATATGTGTCTATTTGAGTTTTTTTTTTTTTTTTTTTTAATAATGCACTGGTGGCCTTCTTTTATAAGCACAAACTAGGGTTTCTTGGCTTGAAGCATAGGCCGCCGGGACATTTATAAAGCTCAAATATATTATCGACTTTTAATATTTGACTCTCTCTCTCTCTCTCTAAAAACACATACTAGGCAAGAGATGTGCTGAACGAAGCACAGATTGTTGAGTTCCAGGAAGCTTTCACTCAGTTTGACAAAGATGGAGATGGTATTTATTTTTTTGCATTTTCTCAATACTTATACATTTTCGGGTTTCCTATATCATTCGATTCTAAATAAGTATCGGTGTGTACATACATATCAAGAAAATTAATAAATTTGATTATAATTTTTAGAAATATACATAGAAAGTGACTAAAATACCCTTACCACTGATTACAATTAACGCATCCCAGGGTGCATTACCATAGACGATCTTTCTAGAATGATGAGGTGTTTGGATCAAATTATTCCAACTCAGAAAGAGCTTCGTGACATAATGAATGAAATCGATTCGAACAGAAACGGGACCATAGAATTCGACGAATTCTTGAACCATATGGCCAAGAATTTAAAGGTTTGTATTAGTGTGGGTGATTTTTTTTTAACTTTTTTTTTTTTTGTTTCAATGTATGATGCATTTACTAAATAAGCATGTTTATTTAATTTTTTTAATCTGAAAATTGATGCAGACAATGAGCTCAAAGAAGCTTTCAAAGTTTTTGATAAAGATCAGAATGGTTATATATCAGCTAATGAGGTCAGCTAATCTTATTAAGTCCACTCTTAATTATTAATTAATTAAGATTTAGGGACTAATTAAATAAATAATATGTGCAGCTTCGGCAGACGATGATTAATTTAGGGGAGAAATTAACAGTTGAAGAGGTGGAACAGATGGTTAGAGAGGCTGATTTGGATGGTGATGGACAAATTAGTTTTGATGAATTTGTCAAGACCATGGCCACTGCTACTAATTAGAACATTAATTAATTAATTAATTAATTAATTAATTAATTGATTAGTTAATGAATTATGTGTGTGTGTGTTTCAAAGAGAGAGAGAGAGAGCGCCAAGCCTTTTGTAACCATTTTCATTAAATTGAAGTCTACAAAAAATAAATAAAACTTTTAATTGTGGCTAGTGTATTTTCATTGTAAACATGTTTTTTTTTTTTTGGAAGTGAAAATTAGTTCCAATTCGGATTCAAAAGAAAAAGTTGAAAAATCCGAAAAATCGAAAACTTGCAGATTGGAAATGCAACCACAACTTTATTCAAGATATTTAAAAAATTCCATCAAAAATGTTGAAAATAATAAATACCAACCCTAGCCAACTCATTTAAACTAAAGATTAATTAATATAATTAATTTTGTTTACAATATAAAAAACAACATATGGGTTTGGCTGTCAACTCGGTTTTGCACGCCTTGGACTTTGGTTCATTAATCTATATAATATTTCAAAGTAAACCCTCATAAACACTTAATTTGCACTTAATTTCACATCACTTAATTACATCTTCTCTCTCTAGAATCTCTCTCTCTCTCTCTCTACAGAAATTAAACACACACACATACATAATTAGTTTCATATTGTAGAGGAAACCTGATCATGGCAGCGGATTAAACATAGAGGAATTGAACAAAACAGCAGGGCGCTTAAACATAGAGGAATTGGATAAAATGATGAGGTTACGTTATGGTCGATATCTAACTCCGAAAGAGCTCCGTGACATGTTCAATAGAATCGATTACGACGGAAACGGTACCATTTAATTGGATGATCTTAATGATCAAGTTCGTTAGGGGAGAGGTTTGTATCAGTGTTTGTGCCGTACGTGTGATTCTCCTTTTTTTTTTTTTTTTTTTTTAATATATATAACAACATTATAAAAATGAAAATATGATTAATAAGTGATTAATCAGAATTCTAAAGTGACAAATGATTTGAAGCAGTTTTTTTTCTCTCAAAAGCGATAAATAATCTCTCTTTAGAAATTTTAATGATTTTGCTAATATTAATAACGAGGACTCTTTTAACAAATACAATAAACACAAAGGTGTTGAATGTAATAAACTAAATTACTTTATTGTCTCAGTATTTTACCTTGTAACCAAACATGAAAATTGATGTACCTAATATTTTCATCTTTTTACGTATCGTTTTCCATGAACCAAACATAGCATATATGTGTTGAACAAAGTACAAATTGCTGAGATCCAGGAAGCTTTCACAATGTTTGACAAAGACGATGGAGATGGTTAGTATTTGCACTTCTTAAATCTTCACATTTTCCTATATATTATTTGTGGGAAAAATACAGTTTTTATTCATAAAGTTTGCACTAATTTTATTTTTGGTCCCTCATGTTCACAAAAAAATTACATTTGGACCTTATTTACAAAAGTTCAACATGTTTAGTCATTTCAGTCAATGATTCGTTATTACTAACGGAATCAAGCGTGTGCCCTTAACTGGCGGATTAATGGTAAATTGACGAAAATGACCAAAAGTGTTAAATTATTGAAACATGAGGTACCAAATGTGGTTTTTGTAAACATGGAGGACTAAATGTGAAATCAGTGCAAATTTGAGGGATGCAAACTGTAATTTTCTCTATTATTTTTTCCAAAATAAGTATAGTTGTGGACTGATGAATTCAATAAGTTTTTGTTTTTTCATGAATAAACATAGAATGTGACTGAAATATTCTTCCCATTAATTTTATTTCCACCAATTCTCTGTCGACTAACAAATCAAACCCGAAAAGTACAAAACTGAGAGAACTGTTTGGTACATTGCATCATTGGAATTGTTAAGTGACAGACAATATCATATGAGAAAATTAGTTATCTAATTAAAAAAAAACCGACAGTCAACAATTAATTAGAAACGAAAGGAGTAAGTAGTTTAATTTTCTTGTCTTTACATTCCAATTTGTGTCTAACTATAGATACACACACACCTTGATAAATAAGGATTGAACAAAACTGCAGGGCGTATTACCATAGAAGATCTTGCCACAGCGATGACGTGTTTGGATCAAAATCCGACTCAGAGAGAGCTCAATGACATAATGAATGAAATCGATTTGAACAGAAACGGGACGATAGAATTCGACGAATTCTTGGACCATATGTCCAAGAATATAAAGGTTTGTCTATCGGTGTGTGTGTGTGTTTTTTTTTTTTTTAATGTATGGTTTAATTCTGGATATAATAATAATTACTAAATAAGCATGTTAACTTTTATCAGGAAAAGTATTCTGTGAGCCTCCGACAAGCTTTCAATGATTTTGATGTGGATCAAAATGGTTACATATCAGCTAATGAGGTGAGCTTATCTTAATTATTCATCATGGACACTACATATATTTTGTAAAGATTATTAACAAAATAAGGGTAAATGACTAAACTTCCCTGAACTTAGTCTAAATTATGAAAAACACCCCCACCTATCCGTAATTATGAAAATCCCCCCTACATTTGTTTCAATCTTACACCGGCCCCCTTACGGTGTGATTTTTCATGGAATCTTTTTTTATTCTAGGAAATATTTCTAGAAAAGTACCGATTTTACCCCTACAAACGTGACATTTTTATATGTTATTTTATAAAGGCAAAAATTACTCTCAGGGAGAGCTTTAATTTCGGAATCAAATGGGATCGGAAATCGGAAATTTCAAATTTATTTTATATAATTCCAATTCCAATCCAAAAAAATCGGAAAAATTCGGAAATCAAAATTTCAGAAGTCGGAATGAAAAAAGTTGTTCCAAAATCGAAACTTTTCGGATCGGAACCGGCGGAAATTGGAATTTATGTTCCAACTTGCACTCCTACTCGGTAGAAATCAATGGCCAAGATCAAGACTCTCGGGACTTCCAAGGTTTGGCCGGATTAAAAATGAACCAAGTGCTGCTAGGCTCCATTGTTGGGCATTCAGATGAAAATGGGTTAAGTGGGCTGGATATAAATAATCCACTTCGGGCCCAACAAACCAACACTTTTCCGCCACATGGGCCGTATGTGATTCCTCCAAAGCCGCCGGAGCCCGGCCTACCTCACCCAATAAAGCCCGAATTCAAACCTCTTTTTTTTTTTTTTTTTTTTTTTTTTTTTAATAATAGTTGAAATTCATCTATTTATTAACTGTTTATTAGACTCGAATTCTTGCTCTCATGAAAAATTATGAAAAGAATTACGATCATATAGTCTTTAACTAACCCAAGACCAAAAAAATTGTGAGTCATTCCTTAATTTGATCGTTTCAAACAAAAAATGGCAATAATGTAAATATATATAAAAAAAGACTTTGTCAAAATATATAAAGTCTCTACTTTATATAATCGCTGTAAAGTTGGTGCAGACAGATTTTCCATCCCAAGTCGGTCAATTCCATTCAACATAAACTTATAAATTAAAATAATATGTCGGTTTCACTTTTGCTACCACGTAAATACAAGTCCTAAATTTTTTGTGTCAATTTTAGTTCATAATTTAAATCGATTATCAATAGTTTTTTAATTATTAATACTGTCATTAAAAGATACGGTGGATCAGTTTATAAATTAAAATTAAGCACTACATGATATAAATTTGATTGAAATTAAAATAAAATAAAAAATAGAAAAAAAAATCTTAGATTCAACATGCATGTACAGTACAGGTGTTTGTACCTCGTTAGTCGAGCAAAACCGCGTTGACAGCTAAGCACATTTATGTTTTTCTGATGTTCATAATTATTATATTAATCATTTTATTTATTTATTTTATTAGAATTTAAAGAGTTTTTTTTACCAAGGCTTTAAAGCTGTTTATTACTCCTATTGTCCAGTTAAGTTGGTGTTTGAAAAAAATTACTCCATCTTTTCCACAATAACTGTCTTTTTTTAAAAATATTGTTGTTTAATATTATCTGTCTCTTTATTAATTTAACTATAAGTATTAACTCTCTCTTATCACATTATTAAATAACCAAGGTTATTTTAGTATTTTTAATATATTTTACCTAAAATCAAGACACATTTATTGAGTTTCTTAATCCTTGTGCAAAGCCAAAAACGACACTTAATAGGGAACGGAGGGAGTATTTAAAAACAAAAGTTAATGATTGTGAGTTAAGTGAGTGTCAAGTGATTATTTCTAAAATTTGTCGGTATTTATAAAAACTTGGCCATAATGATTGATTGATTTTATAAAAATAGCTTAAAATAACTTATTTTAGAGAAGTAAAAACTAAAGTTGATATACAAGACCTGAAAATAGATTATGAGCATAAAAAGACTTATAAGCTGTTTAGGCTTAGATGCTCGATTGGAATGTTTAATACAATTGTCTAATGGCAATAAGATTAGATTAATCATATAATTAATTAAATAATTGAAATTTTTCCATTATCCTAAATAGAGGGTGCGTGCATGTCACGTGCAATACGCAATTATGTGTTATTTGGGGTAACAAAATCCACGGAAAATTCTATGCTACACCTGGTGAATATAACCAGGCACCCTAATTAATAAGATTCCCACTACGGGTTCAGATATGGCCCAATGGGTTTTTAGAATATAATTATAAAATAAATAAAAAAGGACACATGTCAAGAAAAGAGCCACCCAGTGAAAATCACCAGGTGTAGCATCGTATTCCCCCAAAATCCACCATATATATTACACGCGTTCCTATATATATATATAAATAAATATAATTTTTCCTACACGGTCTTCATATTTGAACTTTGAATGCTCAATGTTCCCCAAGAATCGAACCATACAGCTGGTCTAATAAAAAATAATAATATTCTTCAAATTTATTGTCCAATGGTTGAATTAATTATATTTATTCAATATTAGAAATGTGTGGACACAACCAAGAATTCAATAATAATAATTAAAAAAAATAGAAAAATCAAGAATTCAATATTTGAGTGAAAATAGAGAATATGCCAAGCGAAAAATCCAAGGGGCAATGTTTCAAAGGTCAAAGAATTAGTTTGGCTTGCTCGAGTTACTATAATAAAGTGAGTACTACACTTTAGTTTGGCATTTATATTGGTGAACTTTTTTTTTTCAAATATAGTTTTGATGGAATTTTAATTATTGGTTGTTAGGGGCATAAGTTGGAACGAAATTTTACGAATTTCATCTGTCACGATCAGAAAATTCCGATTTTAGAATAATATTTTTCATTATAGAATCTGAATTTTGATTTTCAATTTTGTTCTGATTTTTTTTATCAAAATTGGAATATACAAAGAGATTTCGAGTTTCGATCCAATTTTAGTTTCTGAGAATAATTGAAAAAAATAACATTTTTTCTAATAGAAAATTACACCTATAATATTAAAGTTGTAATTTTATATTACAAGTAAATAAAATAGAATTTACAATTTCTAAGGACTCAAATTGTAATGATACCAATGTTGGAATATCTTTTTTTTCATTCCAATTTATGAATTTTCGATCTCTGATTACGAAAAAAAAAAACTGGGACGAAATTCGATTTAGTTTCTAGTACTTTCAACTTTTTTTTCTTCCCCGAAAATACTAATTCCGATCGTATCCGATCCATTCAAAGATTCATACACTAGACCTAACTCAACTCACAACCTCACTCTTGACTCCTCGTTTACTTTTGATTTATTAATTAATATATTTATATTTTCGTAAATTTTAATGAAATTACAATTGGATTCGGCATTTACAAGGATTTGCTGTCTCGCCTCCATTCTACTTAAACCCCATCAAGGATTCATCTCTACTCAACTCTCTCTCTCTCTCCTCTCTCTCTCTCTCTCTAGAAACACACACCAAAAACACACACACACACAGACACACAATTAGTTGCATAATGGCAGATGCATTGAATGAAGAACAGATTGTTGAATTCCAAGAAGCCTTCAGTCTGTTTGATAAAGATGGAGATGGTTAGTTTTGTTTTTCACTTCTTACTAATACTTGCATGATATATGTGTATATATATACACCTTGTATACTTTGTAATAAGATTATAGAGATTAATTGGAGAAAACTGCAGGGTGCATAACCATAGAAGAACTTGCTACAGTGATAAGGTCATTGGATCAAAATCCAACAGAGGAAGAGCTCCACGAAATGATGAACGAAGTCGATTCCGACCGAAACGGGACCATCGAATTCGCCGAATTCTTGAATCTCATGTCCAGGAAAATGAAGGTTTCATTCATTTCTTCTCTATATACATACATATTTTCTGTGTGTGTTTTCATATTATTACGGGTAAATTACAAAAATTCCCCTGACCTTAGGCTTAATAACGGAAAACACCTCCACCTATTCGTAATTAACAAATAACCACAGAGGTTTGTTTCCGTCTTACACAATTTCATATATTTTCTTTTATTTCTCATCTATTTAACAGACTGAAATACATTTTCTGTTAAAAGAAAACTCTAACAACAGTTAATCAGAGGGGGATTTTGGTTATTACGGATATGTGGGGGTGTTTTTTGTTATTTACCCTAAGTTCAGGGGTATTTTTGTAATTTACCCTATTATTAATTATGCATTATTTAATTACTAAATATAAACATATTAATTATTATTTTGTATCAGGAGATTGATGCAGGTGAGGAGCTCAAAGAAGCTTTCAAAGTGTTTGATAAAGATCAAAATGGTTACATATCAGCAAATGAGGTGAGCTTATCTTAATTATATTAATTTAATGATAATTATACATATATTAATTTAATTAATTAATTAATTATAATTAAATTGTGTGCAGCTTCGGCAGGTGTTGATGAATTTAGGGGAGAAATTAACAGATGAGGAAGTGCAACAGATGATCAGAGAGGCTGATTTGGATGGTGATGGTCAAGTTAATTTTGATGAATTTGTCAAAATGATGACCACCGTTGGATAAAGTCATAAAACATACTTTTAATTTTATTTATTTATTATTTTTTATTAATAGTATTATGTTTATTATCCTTTAGGACAATATTCTTGCTGCCCAAATTTAGATTTATTTTCTTGGTTGTATTACTTTATGTTTTAGATCCAATGGAAATTTCAACTTTGCCATTCTTACACCTCTGTTGGGTTTTTGGCACTCTGCACCCTTAAATTACACCATTTTGGCACTTTGCACCCTTAAATTGCAAAATTGGCAGATTGCACCCTTTAAACATAAATTGTTTGGCACTTTGCACCCCAAATCATTTTTGGCTTAGAAAACTTACCTGCAACTTGCTGGAAACCTGAAAGATGGGCAAATTCATAATTTTCTTATTTTCTATCCTCTTCCCTAAACTCTTAATCACCTTCCACCATTTTTATCTTTCGTCCCTTCAATAAAAAAATCCTAAATTTTTTTTAGCCATTTCTTTCAATGGTAAAATCGGTATACACACTAAACAATAATAGTAAATCACTTTTTTTTTCTTTTGAGTATGAAAAATAATGTAACTTGAAATTTTAGGCTGAACCCTCAATTTTTATTTTTTTTGAATAGTCAAATGACAAAATAAGGCTTGCACCAAAAGGCGAAATCCCTCGCCCCCAGGGCCCCCATCCCTTGGCCCGACAAGGATTGATGAGGGAATGTAAATCATGGTAACTCAACGGCCCGTTAAGGTAGCGGACCCGGACCTGGTGCCCACAAGGAACCAACCTTATTGGAGTTGAATGACAAAATAAGGCTATTGAGAAGTTTATTTGGCGATAGACAGGTGGTGCCTATTAGTTTCATGATGGGAAGATTTTTGTGCTCCAATTGAATAGTTTGTATTTGCAAAATTACTCCTCAAAAAATAGCGTTACCATGGAATAAAACTTGATTTTCTGAAGGTGTGTTATCGGACTCTTGTTTATATATTCCGATCATTCTTGAGTTTTAGTTCAGAATTTACATATTATGGCAAATAGAAACGACTAAGAAGAATTTACGATTTTTTGATTAATATGAAGAAATATAAAAATGGTGGAACGATGATTACGAATTATGGGAAGAGGATAGATAATTAGAGAATTGCGAATTTGCCCATCTTTCAGGTTTTTAACAAGTTGCAGGTAATTTTACTAAGCCAAAAGTGATTTGGGGTGCAAAGTGCACACAGTTTATGTTTAAAGGGTGCAATCTGCCAATTTTGCAATTTAAGGGTGCAAAGTGCCAAAATGGTGTAATTCAAGGGTGCAAAGTGCCAAAAACCCCACCTTTGTTATATGCTGTTGAATATGAGTCAATAATAATATATTAGCCCTGATTTTTCATACTTCAACCTCAAACATATAGTTTTTTTTTTTTTTTTTTTTTTAATAATTTCAAATACATTTCACTTACATCAAACAATAATATTAGACATATTACAATCATGCCACCAATCCCACCTTAAAAAATGGACTCAAAAAACAACCACAAAAAAAAAAAATAGTAGCAGTAGTATTAAATCTCTCTTTCAATGTTTTTCCTCTCGAAAATCTTGAAAACCGGATCGAAAAAAGACGGACCCGAAAAACAAATCATGCAAAAAAAATCCCAAATAAATATTTTCTTCCAACAATCAAAAAATACCATGGTTTAGCTGATTGCTGCTGCACAACACATGCATGTAGTGAAAATTGAAGACTTCGGTTTTCTCTTACCGTTTCCTTTCGGTGAAGTTACTACAGCGCAATCTTCTTGTTTTGCAATTGTGACCTCTTTGTTTTCCAAATTTACGTAACTACCCTCCGAGCTTTCGGATTTGCCTCCTTCCATTCTGATAGTCTTCTCCTCGACCTCAACCGCTTCATACCTTAACGAACTCCCTAAAATCTCCGTTTGAACGCTTCTATTTTGGAATCTCATAGTTGAAGAAGTCGATAAGCTTCTTATCTTTGGTCTTTCTTGATATAGAAGCGGGGTCCGCTCCGATTCTTCGCGCATGGCAACAAAGGGTAGTCCAAAGTCAAAGCTCGGTGACTTTCTGAGCTCAACTTTCGATTCAGTAACGACCGTTTCTGTCTTGATTTCGTTGTCTTGTACTAACACATGTGTTTCAGATAACTCCCCTGTTAACTTGTCATCTTCTTGATCTTCTGTCTTAATATTGTCATCAAAACTATTCAGACAACAAACCGAATCGATGATTTCGACTTCGTTTTTCTTGATTTCTTGATCCTCACAGCTCGTGTTATCTCCAATGTTGTCTATTTCGTTGATCATAGGTTTCTCTTCGTCGAGGGCGAATCCGTCACTTTGCTCGTCGTTTTTCAGGGCGAATCCGTCATTTTGCTCGTCGTTATTCGATGCGGATAAATCTTGCGAACCAATACTTTGAAAACCGTCGAGAGAAATAACGGGACTATTTTCGATCTCTACATCGTGATCGTCAACAACAACTAGACATGATTCAACATGTTCGAGAGTTTCTTCATTCTCTTTCTCCAACATATTTTGATCTTCTTGAGGTTGTGTAGTGATATCCACAGATTCTCGAGGCGAAGGGTTCGAATTTGAAGTTGTATTCGAATTCGAATTCGATTCGCTTCTCTGCATCTCCCCTGTTTAGGGTTTAGTTAT